GCCAAGCCTGGTGCCACCCAGCGCTATCAATCAGCACTCACCGAGCCCCTCTAGGGCCGGTACTACACCCACACCATAGTGGTATCCGCGATGTCGTTCCACCGCACGCCGTGCCTCTCTAGGGCCGACACTACACAGTGACATCCGGCGATGTCACTACATCTATATGAGGATGCATAATTGGGAGTTTTTCGTTGTTCAAGTCTTAAGACATGCCTCACTTTCGTCCTGCTTGTCTCTCGTGGTGCCCTTATAGGGTATTCTAAAGCCCCTTGTCAATGTCCTGCTGGATGAAACCTCCCCCATGCCATGTCGGTCATGGGAAATGTTTGACCATGCCTCATCACACTAATCGGTGCATATTGGTAAAGTGGGGTGGGTGCCCAGAACTCTTTTATTTACCACTCGCCGCTAATGTTAGCCATCGCCGGGAAGTATATTCAGTTGGAAGCGTAGTGCACTAACCACCGCACCGCCACTCCGTTTCACAACTCTTTCAAACGACAGCTTTGTGGAGCGCCAAGTCGTTTTAGTTTGTCAGTTTTGACGGAGCTGGGCCGCGGGGATTGGAGGCGTCGGTAGTTGTCATCGTCTCATACGTGGGTGCGTGGTGCCCTTTGCCGGAGGCCGAAAAGTAGCGCCTAGCATGCGCATCTCAAAACAATGGTGAAATGACAGCTTGACAGCGCTCACTGTAGATTTTATTTTTACACGGTTGTTACATCCGTGACGTGAAATCTCAGTTGTGTCACTTTGCAGTGCACAGGCAGTTGGGTTCTTCTTGTTGTGAGTGCAAGACTGTAGATTTATTTTGGTGGTTAAAATATATGATTGATTCATTGATTGAGATTTTGCTTGGTAAAAATGTTTTTTTTTCCATACAGGCACTGCAGCGAGCCAGCCAGATCATTGCCGAGATCCGAGAAACGCACCTGTGGTGAAGTGACTTGGTCTAACCGAATTACCAGATCACAAGTCCACCGGCTTACCGGGAGGGATCAGCCACCCAGCTCCTCCAAGGAGGCCAAGTCGCGACGGCTTCAGGATTGAATGACATTCACCACGGGTTTTTTAAACAGAGCTCGGCTGTCCACACTGTTGGTGAGCGAACTGTGCACCCTGCGTGCGCGAAACGGCACGGAGAGAAAAAAAAAAACTCGAGGAAAAATTAGTAATCGGTGAGGCAGGGCTGCGCTGGGACTTGGGCTCCGTAAAATAAAACCTGTGCTGGACCACGAGAAAATCCTTTCGGAGTATAGACCAGCCGTTGGGTAATGCGCGACGTCTGGGTAATTTTTTTATTTTATTTTGAACTGGGTATGTGTAAAATAAGGAGAGCGTTTTCATGATGATTAATGTCGTATCGTACCGACCTCACGAGCATCACAATAAACGCATCGTTTTAGCTTACGATCTGCGCAAAACTTTTCTCCAACGTGAACCATTGCCGCGTTGTTGTCTGTCGAGCCCTCGTTCCGTGCACAATAACCCATCCACGTTGACATGGCCCCACCTCTCCCTATAGTGCAAGTACACATGTACTTGCTGCTTGCATTCGTGGAAGTTACATTTGCACCATTTGTGCGTAAAGAGGGGGGGGAGCATCCTTTAATTTTTGTTTTACCGACTGCCGTTAAATTATACATTTGTGCGTAGCTGCTTAACATAACCACGCTTTCGGAGCGGTCTTTTCTGTTAACAAGGCTGGTTTATTCGATGAAGTCGATGGTCTGAACACGTATTGCCTTTATTTATTACAGTAGTCGCAGGGAAGCAATGTACCACTCGCAACCCCTCCTAGCAAGGCTGGGTGTGGAGTCATCCAGAGCGGGGGTTTACAACCCTGGCAGCTCATTGCACTCCACGTCTCTAATGCCCATCAACGAAATAAGCAATGCACCTCTATGTAATTTTCCTGGCGTGTGGCGGTGGTGATATGTCTTCACGATGGAATCTTCAGAGGTTGCGTATGGACATCTGATATAAAGACGATATTAAAATCCAGTTGTATTGCAATGCAGAAACTTACAGATGGGACTTGGTGGGTCATGTGGAAATTGAGCTATTGTATGCATTGAGCAGTACAGCAAGTAGGCATTTGAGCATTCTCCCCCTTGTAGCCAGGTTTTCTCCAGGTACTCGAGTTTCATCCCACACACCTACTTGTGATGACTCTTGAGGCTTGGTGTGGCTTTCCTGGGCAAATACTAACCTTACTTTAATTTGCATGGTGATTATAGATTCCTGCGGGAATATGGACCATGAGGGGGGGGGGGAATACAGGGTTTGACATTGACGTAGAGAGAATAGTGCAACTTGATGCAGTATGTTTTTGGTTTACACTCGAAACAACTTTAAAGCCAAATTCGCCTGTGTGAGAAGAATTTGCGTGAAGTCGTGCCCCAAGTCTTGCCGTCAGTGGTGGCATACGTGGAAAGCTCTGTAACAGACAAGTAGCCCTACAACAAAATTATCTGGATATTCTTGTAAATAAGCCGATTGAACCATGGTTCCACAAGCTGTATACAGCTCCTGCTGAATTGTGAAAGAAAATAATGCTCGTAAAAAACTATGTCCATGAAATTGAATGAAAAAAATATATACGGGAGCCTGCTCTTTCGGTTCTGATGATGCTGCACTGACTTTCTGAGTAAATTTAATGCAAATCTGTCTCTTTTGAGTACGGAAAGTGGCAGTATTCAATGCGTACTCAATATTTTGCTTGGCAAAATATACACCCAGGCTAGAATACAAAGCATAAGAGCTCAATCAGTCGACTTATTAACGCAGAATTATTGTTGTTGTACAAACACATTACTTTCTCGCCGAATATTATCCTGGTTGCTAAATTGCACAAGTAGGCACGTGACTAGTAGCCACGGCCATAACTAAGAGGTGCACTCGATGTGGTGTGCCAGATGCATACATATTTTGAGGGTCGACGACCCGGACAGACTGATCTGAAATGAATCCCTGGTTGTATTTGCTAGAAAATAAATAAAAATACAAATTTGAGCTCATGTTGACACTGCAACCGTCTCACGGGTTTTAAGTCGGCATGCCATTTATTAGGGCACCGGCTTAGAATATAACTCTCATGGGGGTATTTGAGTGGCGCGTGTTTTTTTTATACGTGCATGAACGATCCTTGAATCCCCAATTAAATGAAACCTGTTTTGTGTTGCACGGACGAGAATGGCACGAGGTTTTTGAGGAGGTAGTGGCGCGTGCAGTGGCTGCTGTGTATGGCTCCTGGTGAATTGTAAGACTCCTTTTGTTTTATAACAATTATACATGTGTCATTAAAAGCAAAAGGTGAAGACATCGGTGAAGGCATTGTGGAGCGTGCACTGGCGTCTACTTCATTATGCGCTTTTCAAATGAATCATTGTGATGATGATGATGATGCTGCTGCGTTGGCAGTGGTGGAGAAACACAAATAACAAACTCCTCACATTTCATCATGGGTCCTTTCTTGCAGTATCAATATAAGAATCGATTTTACCCTTTAAGGCAATAAAACAGATGTTAAGATGTTAAAACACCAAACGGAAACCTTTAGCAAAAGGTAAAGTCACATAGGTAAAATAAAATAAATAAAAACTAAATTAAATCACGACGTTTCGGAGGCAACACAAGCTTCCGTCTTCAGGTGGAACAGTCACAGCAGAATAGCTGTACAGGAGAATAGCTGTACTTGGTACAGCAATTCTGCTGTGACTTCCATCTGAAGACGGAAGCTTGTGTTGCCTCCGAAACGTCGTGATTTAATTTAGTTTTATTTTACCTACGTGACTTTACCGAAAAAACCAAAGAGTATGAATCCTTGCAGTCACGAAAGCTTCAAATCTAGAACGTTAGCAAAAGATTAAGATGTTAAAACACCAAACAGAAACCAAATAGAAACCTTTCTGTTTTAACATCTTAACACCTGTTTTATTGCCAGAAAGGGTAAAACCAATTCTTATGTTCTCACATTTCTTCATAGAAGGGCCATTGCCCAACATGTCACTTATATGTATTTTTTTACTTTTTAAGGCCACTCATATTTATGAATGTGTAAAATGTTTTGTTTGTAATTAATTATGGGCTGGAGAGTTTAAATAACAGGCTATGTCAAGTCAGGCGGGTTTGCCTCACTCCTAAACGGAGCTCTATAAGGAAGTTTTCCCAGAGTGGGCTGGGTGGTTTGGGGGCATAATTCCGTGGCGGAGCACTGATCCAGTACCATTGAGAACTGAATTCGAATCTGGATTTTAAAAAAAACACCCATAGTTAAATTGGATTCAAAATGTGGTGAATTGGTCTCTCGGTGATCACAAATGACTACAGAAAATTGTATCATTTGGTTTTTCAATTGTACATGTGTGTATGTGTAAAGCCCGTCAATCCACTGCTGAATGAGTACTCCCCTATACCATGTGGGTCTTGGGAGTGAGTTGACCATACTGCACCATGTTAGTCTGTGGGTTGCGTGGGGGGAGCATAAGCATGGGAAATTAGAAGTGTAAGTTTCTAAGGATGTCCTGCACTGCCCTCTGCTGCCCCACAACGTAGCCCTGCAGCCTATAACAACCCATCATGCATGGTCGCCCATCCACGCACATGTCAGATTCGTTCAAGCCAGTGGGGAGCTGTGGGAGGTGGTGCTTCCATAGGAATCCCTGCAGACCCCAGTGGGTCCAGTTGAGGCCTGCCGTGGAAGCTGGGCCATTTATCTTGAACCACGTGCAATGGGAGACCCAGCCTTGTACTGCAGTCAAAGCCCCCGGTCAATGTTCACTCGGCGGGAAGTCACTCGCTCTCTTATGCTGCCACCATGGTCTGGAATGCCCTTCTCCCAGACATCCGTGCTGTTGACTCTGCCCAAGTTCAGTTTATCTGCCTGACAGGACTTATAGACGATACAAGTCCAAATTGTATTGAGATGTATTGCTGCAATAAGGCAACTGACATCCAGTGTGGATTAGTGTACAAGTGGTAATATTAAAATAGACTGCTTTGAAAACTCTTACATTTTTATTCAAGTATATTATACAGATATTATTTGTACAATACACAAGGGTACTTGTGTACTATGGGTATATATTAACTTGTGAATGGGAACAGTTTAACAATGTCAATTTACCTCTTCAAAATCAAACTTAACTGGAATTCAAGTGAAGAGGTCAACAGAAGTCCGAATTCAACCCTATATATTTTTTTATATTCCAAGCTTTTGAGATATATTTTAAGATGCAACCTAAAATGCACCAACAGCCATGCATTCAGTGGAAATTCATGACTTTCCTTCCCAGGCATGTTATCACTTTCAGCAGTTGAGCACCAAATCATGAATTCATATCCTAGTTAGGCCTGAATAAGCCCCAATATCATCATCATCCATTATTAAACCGAGCTTCATCTTCTGTACACTCGTTTGAACGTCAATGAAGAATTTCCACCACTGGCTCGGCTCCACCTACGGGACCTGCCAATTTGCGCGTACGAGTGCACGGACGACACCCGACTTCTCTACTTCTTGAACGAAATAGAAAAGATAGTATTTCAGGTGGGCGGAGAGAAATTTCCCGTCCAACAGCAGGTAACATTCAAACGGGTCGAACTTGCAACTGGGTCCATGGCCAAGGCAGCTCACTCGCGGACGACAGCCACAAGTCGGCACGAACCGTGGACACTGGAGAAGGCCGGCCCTCGTGCCACACTCGCGTACGCACTCACACGTTGAGCCACTTGACGATGTAGTAGTTCTTCTTGCCAATGCGCAGCAGGGAGAGGCCGTTGCGAAGGACGTGCTGACCCAGCACGAGCACCTGGTCCGGGTTAGTGACCCGCTCATGATTCACGCGCACCCCGCCGCTCTCGATCATCTGCAGGCTGCGAATTAAAACGCGCACGAAGCAGCACATGAGAGACACCGCTCGCTTTAGATTTAAGACTCGTACAGCCCTGGTGTCAATCCACTGGTGGATGAGGGCCTCCCCCCATGTCGTGTTGGTCATAGTCTTTGCTTGACCATACTTCACCACGCTAGTAAGTGTGGCCCCCTTGGACCGGTTCAGATATGGCCACTGATCAAATTTCAAGTTTTAGTTAGTTTAACCAGGCGAGAACTCAAAAGACCGGCTTGGTACAGTGTCCCAGTAGGGGGTGTTATGGTTGCTATTTATAATCCTCATTGAGAAATTAGTCATTTTCAAATTTGGCACACTGGCCTACGAGCTAACCATGCGAGGGGATCTTTAACGTCAACTGTGAAGCAGACGGCGCATGGTATCGTTACGGTTATTACACTCGTAGATTTAAACGTGCACCTCTGCAACAAGTGACTACGCACTACTGCTCGGCCTCATATCCCCCCCCCCCCCATGCCATGCTAGCTGCGGCCAGTCATTTCAAATGCTCCCCCCCCCCCCACGTATAATCCATAATGGACGCAGGCACCAATCACGTGCAACACGAATGAATCGGGACGTAATTGATTCTTAAAACACCCGCCCCCGCCTTGAAGCATTCATCGCGAGCGGTGGAATTTTTGTTAATCGACGCATCCACTTGATCGCTACGTGCCCAACGAACAACGTGACGCGCAACTGCTCCTGCGTACCCATGGCTGCCCTCGGGCACCGCCTGTACCCTCAGGCACATGTCGTGCAGCGAGGTGCCGGGCTCCAGCACTAGCTCCGTGAAGGACGACTCTCGGAACAGCTCCCGCAGCTCCGTGTCGTCCATCGCCTCCAGGTCCTGCGTGCTGCCCTCGTACAGCACTTTGGTGCACCTGGTGGTGCGGACATGAGGACTGATTACGAGTGGAGGAGAGTACGTGGAGGGGAATCGAGTGAGACGAGAGCGGAGAGGTGGAAGTGTTTCAGTAATGCCATCAGCGACCCTGGTGCAGGGAATGCAGCCCAGAACACCTGGTACCCTGTGGCCTGTTGGCCCGGGTGCAGTTGCACCGCCTGCACACTTAATATCTTCGCTGTTGCTAACCTGATTGCGGATTCCAACCCATCCTGGCCATGCACGAGCTTCACGACCTCGGTTGCCAAACGGCGCTGAGCCCCGCGCTTATCTGGCGTCTCACGGTGCCGCTCCATCACGTGAGACACCTCGGCCAGCGGCAGAAAGGTGAGGAGCTTCAGGTACCTGCGGACAAGGAGCGCGGACATCAACTCGACACTTTCATGGAGGGGGCCCGATCTACCAATGAAGCGAGCGCCACAAGTTTGATTCTGCCATGCGAACTCGAGCTGTGCAGCAAAGCTAATATGTATCATTCTAAATGACACGCGAAATGTATCATTTGTATGCATACATTGCCTAGCACGCAGCTATATCTGGAGCAGCGTTGATCTTTTACAACGATGCCACTGACCTCTCGACCTCTGCGTCGGGCAGGCGAATGAAATGCTGGTACAGGTCAAAGGGCGACGTCCTGTCGCGGTTGAGCCACAGAGCGTTGCCCGCCGTCTTGCCCAGTTTGTCTCCCGTGGTGCTCGTCATCAGCGGCACCGTGATGCCGTACACCTCCTTGCCGGTCACTCTGCGAGCGGGTGATGAGATGGTGAAGAAGAATGGAGGAAACAATAGAGGGGAACGACTGCGGATGAAGGAGGTTAATGCCCTTCCCCGTGCATTGTCTGATTAAAAATTAAGGATGTGCACGTGGTCCCGGTCTTTGAGTGTAACGCCATTGTTTTGGTAGTTTTAATTCGCGTCAGTCATATCAATCGTTAACTCTCGTACAAATTTTCCGAGCAAGAGTGGTGGAGCGGTGGGCACGGTGTCTAGGGCATCGCGCTATGAACCTGGCAATGAGTTGAGATTCCCGGCCACAGCGAACTAGTCCTGGGGGCCCCTCACCAAGGATCAACGTGGTTAAGTGTGGTCAACACCCGTGACCAACACGGCGTGAGAAAGCCTTCATCCACTCGTGGATTGAAAAGGAGGAGGAGGGGGGGCAGCGATTGCTTGTTCTTTAATTCGATCAAAAAAAAGACGATTTTAAAACCATTCCGAAATTCACAAAAGCTGTATCATCAACGTCTATGCCCCAGAGCACACGTGGTTTTATTTCCCCCCCTCCGCCCCCCGATCTGCGAGGTGGTGCGAAGCGAGCCAACAACAACGCAGACGACGCACTTGTGGATGAGTTCCTGCCCCGACATGATGTTGCCAAGCTGGTCGGCGCCTCCCAGCTGCACCACGCAGCCCAGCTCGCGGTGCAGGTGCAGGAAGTCGTACGCCTGGAACATCTGGTAGGAGAACTCGGCGAGGCTCATCCCCTCGGGAGACTTGAGTCGCGACTGCACGCTGTGCCGGCTCAGCATGGTGCCCATGCGAAAGTGCCTTCCGACCGTGGACAGGAACCCAACCACGTCGCGTTCCCCGTACCAGCTCGCGTTATTGAGCACCGCAAAGGCGCCCAGCTGCCTCCGCCTCCCCGGAGGTCCCTGGCTATCTGGCCGCCACAGCAGAGCCTCGTGGTTGCTGGCGACTCGGCGCAGACTGTCGCCGATGCGCGCCGCGTTGCGCTCCACCGCCTCGGCGCTCAGCGGCTCCCGCTCTCCCGCGCGGCCGCTCGGGTCGCCCACCAGCGCCGTGGCGCCTCCGACCAGGGCCACGGCGTCGTGGCCGGCTCGCTGGCAGTGCAGCATGAGCACCAGGGCCAGCAGGTGTCCCACGTGGAGGCTGTCCGCGGTGGGGTCGAACCCGCAGTAGACGCACTGCCGCGCGGACTCGAGCAGCGCGCGCAGCTCCAAGCTCGCCTCGGGGTACACACCGTGCAGGAGACCTCGGGCGTGCACGTCGAGAAAGCTCCTGCAGCTGCCGCCGCTGCTGCCGCCGCCGCTGCTGCCGTGGCGTCTGAGCGGCGCAGAAGTCCAGGCGAGGCGGCGACCCTGCCTCAGCGCTCGGAGAGCGGCCGCGGCGGTGACTCGGGGCAGGAGAAGCATGCCTGCCCTGGGCGCCGCCATCTTGGTAACCCCGCAACGTGGGCGGGTGGGCGGGCGGCAGTAGTAAGATGGCGAAGACGGCGCCGGAACTGGCAGTAGCAACGTGGAGGCGGCTGCTGCTGTGCAGTCAAACTCCCTCCCCCCTCCCCTCACCCCTCCCCTCCCCCCCTCCTCCCCTCTCCCTCCCCCCCTCTCCCTCCCCCCTCTCTCTCCCCCCTCCCTCCCCTCCCCCCTCTCCCTCCCCCTCCCCTCTCCCTCCCCCTCCCCTCTCCCTCCCCCTCCCTCCCCTCCCTCCCCTCTCACTCCCATTCCCTCCCCCTCCCTCCCATCCCCCTCCCTCCCCTACCCTCCCCTCTCTCCTTCCCCCCTCCCCTCTCTCCCTCCCCTCTCCCCTCCGCGCCTGCTGGGCTCTGTCCCGTGGCCTCCACCTGTCGGCGAGCCTTCGACGCTTCACGTGGCCTTAACGTGCACGTAGCCTGGCACAAGGCGCCGCGGTGACGTACACCGCCACTTCGTGGCGAATGGCGGTGGTTGTTGTTGGGGGGGGGCGAGGGAGCGGTGGTGAAGCGGTTAGCGCGGTGCGCTCGGAACCCCGGCCAGCCGAGTTCGACTCCCGCTCACGGCCAACACCGGCGACGATTATCTGAACCGGTTCCTGGGCCTCCCACTAGGTCGACTCGGCCTCAAATGAACAACATCGCCACCGGGGAGACAAAGGCGGCCGGGCGTGGTGTTGGCCACCCACCACCGCCCCTCGTGTGCCACAGTGCCGGTGGCCTTCACAGGAGCTACTTACTCGGCACTTGCCCCGACAGTCTGTTGAGATTTTGATTTAAAGCTTTCGTGACTGCAGGGATTCATATTCTTGGTTCTTTCGGTAAATTCACGTAGAAGGGAAACAATAAAAATATATAAAACAATACAATTCTCACGACGTTTCGACTGCAACACAAGCAATCATCATCGGGTGTGAAAACCACAACAAGAAAATTTGAAAAAAGTGGCGTTTTTTTAAATTGTTTTAACGTAAGCACCACCTTAAGCGTGATCAATCAATTAAGAACCATTTCGGGTCTTAATTGATTGATTACGCTTAAGGTGGCTTTCAGACCGTATCCATTATTTTTTGTCTCCCCCCTCCTCTTTTCCGAACATAGATGGACTCGTCCATCTGAATAACTGCCAAATCTCTCTCCGTGGTGCTAACGTTAAAAATAACCGCCACTTTTTTCAAATTTTCTTGTTGTGGTTTTCACACCTGATGATGATTGCTTGCGTCGCAGTCGAAACGCCGTGAGAATTTTATTGTTTTATATATTTATTATTTTATTGTTTCCCTTCCACGTGACCACAAAAGAACCAATAATACACGGGGGATCGTTGTGGTGGGAGGGGGGTGCGGTGTGGGGGGGGGGGCGGGGGAGGGGGCGGGGTGTGCGCATGCGCATAAAGGTACTGGAATGGGGGATGAACGTTGAGCGGGTTGGCGGCAGTAGCAAGATGGCTGCGTCCCGTTGGGCTCTACCAATTCCGGGTAAGCATTAAAGTCAAATATTAATCGATTAAATGTAAATGTTTTCAATCGTTTTAGGCACAAGTGCGTGATTTTTTTTGTAGTATACACGTATATAATTGTGTGAGGTTTGTATAATTGTGCTGTTTTTTTGCGTTGATTTAAAGGAAGAAAAAAGAGTGTCCTTCGCGAGTTTTTAGATGGTACAGTCCTGGCCTGCGAGGTCGCGGCGATCGCTGCGTGCAGGCGGCGTCGTGACGCTTGTTGATGTCTTTCTCCTTGTAATTTATGTTTATCTTTAACAATAAATACCAACAGTGGTTTCAATGAGGGTAAACGCATCGTTGTGCCGTAATTATTACGAGGGGATTGGTCGGTCTGAGGTTTTTTTTTCGTTGTGCGAGGTTGCATTTTGGTTGGCGGGAAATGGTTTGAGAACTTGCCTGACGCGTTTTAGAGATAACTAGATTTGTGATTAATAACTGCTTTTTGTGATTAACATCAACGTTGTGATCAATATCAACGTCATTTCACCACTCGATGACGCTGGTGTTTGATGAAGATCGTGTGTTTCGGGAGGCGTTCATTCGCTTTTCCCGCCAACGCGTGAACCAGGAACCCAGTGAACAACATGCGTGTTATTATCATCTACACATCGGGCTGGTGCACAAATAACAAACATTATCAACACATTTGTCAATAACGCTGTCTTAAAATGAAAAATTTAATAAGCGACGTTTCGGCCAATTGTCCTTAATGTGCTATGAAGAAGGCCCGTTGCCCGACGTGGCCTTGTATTTTTCCTTTTAATGGCACACTGTTATTGACGGATATGTTTATATTTGTATTCTTGGTTCTTTCGGTAAAGTCACGTAGAAGGGAAACAAAATAATACAAATAAAAAACCACAGCAAGAAAATTTTCTTGCTGTGGTTCTCACACCTGATGATGATTGCTTGTGTTGCAGTCGAAACGTGAGAATTTTATTGTTTTATATTTTTATTATTTTATTGTTTCCCTTGTACGTGACTTTACCGAAAGAACCAAGATTATTAATCCCTGCAGTCACGAAAGCTTTAAATCAAAAATGTTTATATTTTTATAATTTTACCCAGTAAGCCCTCGCTGAGTCGTATGATTTCTTATTAAAGTTGTTGCTCCGGGGGTGGGTTGATGGTCGGGGCAATGTTTACTCCGTATATTCCAACTCCAGCACTCTTAATGTGTTTACATTTATCCACATGAGCTTTGGGTTATGATTTTAATGCCATTATCTTGTATTAATTGACATAAGTTTTGCACTCTTATCACGTTTAACGTTCCTTTGGCTAAGGGATTGTTTTGAGCTTGTGATAGTGCTCAGGGGGATGGATGACGAGAGATAATTTCAGAAGGAGAAAAAAACACTTGTAGATCTGAAGCTTTCGTGACTGCAAGGATCCATACTCTTTGGTTCTATTCGGTAAAGTCACGTAGGTAGCATAGCAGTGCAACAAAACAATTGTTGCACTGCTATGCACGCCGCCGCATGACAGAATAAACACAACGACCCGCAAGGGCATGGAGAAAGAGGCCCTCGTCACCACAGCGGGGGGATTGACAAAGAAGCAACAACAACGACACATTTACACAATGCGTGGGGGGAATGATGAGCCTTGTTTGGCCAGGGTGTGCGCACCCAAGCTGTGGTGCCACGCAGGAGTGGAGCCTCACGTTCCACCTGGGTGTTCATGGAGCAGCTCTGTAGAAAGTTGTTCATAGAGCTGCCTACACGACACCCCACAGCAAAGCTGTTTGCTCACTGGCCCCCCCTAAACCCTGCAGCCCGAGACATGGCTCCCGGGTTCGGTGACGAACATACACGGCAAAGATGACCTGCGTTAGCCTGTTTGGGTGGAAAGAAGTGCTGTTAGTGAGCACCTATTCGCGTCGGCACGGTGCAACAAGGGGGTGTAGCGTTGGCGAAAACCATACCAGTTCGTGTTGGTTCTTTTGAGTGCTAAGGGGCCGTCCATAAATGACGTCACGCACCTAGGGGGGGATCAGACATTTGTGACGAGGGGGGGGGCGGTTTGAGCAATGTGACGTCACATCAAAACGCGCAATTTTAAATAAATATAGACACGTTCTACTTAAATTTAAGATTTTTTTTCTCCTACAACAGTGCAACGCCACATTTAAATACGCACTACAATCACAATATTTTAAAGCGATTTGAAGCATTTTTTTATTTTCAAAATGGAAATATGTTTTTTTTAGGGGGGGGGCAGAGCTTTGTGACGTCATATTTAAAGGGATTGGGGTCTGACTTTTTGTGACGCCGTGTGACGAGGGGGGTGGGGGTCAAAAATCGTCCAAAATCGCGCGACGTCATTTATGGACGGCCCCTAATGTAGATACACTGCACCAGGTTAATGCTGAGTCAATATAAGGGAAGCCCAGGACTGGTTCGTATGGCTCTCCCTACTGGTGTTAGCTGTGGCCTGGAATCGAACTGAGCTCGCCGTGGACATTGTGCACAGTGAGCTTCATCACTCTGCCGCTCCTCAGTGCCAAAGATCCACCGTAAAGTTCTATAGACTGCTGGGACAAGTGCTGCTACCAAGTGACACCCTCATACGCGCGCGTCTTCATGCCACACACGTCAATGACAGATGGAAACAACAGTTGGTGTATTTTATGGATTTGCAAATTAAATTTGAAGGAATTGCTCGGTTATTCACTTTTCATTCGCTGCTTACCTCTATGGGTTTATTTGGCGAAAAATAGATATGGTCTTGTTGGATACATTTTAAATAATTTAAAAAAAATAATTTTAGAGCACAGCTCTATTTCCAAAAGTTGTGTTTACATGAGTTTAAATATCATTTGAGCAAATAAATGCTAATTGTGAACCCAGAGAATACTCGGCTTATTCTATCGGGGTGTCGGGCCATTTTGAGTTCTGTATGGCTCTTAAACCATGATGTAAAATGTTATCTTCGAAGAGAACAAATAACCAATGCGGCCTTAATGAGAAGCTGAGGGGTCCTTGTAACATTTGTTTACGGTGAATACAATTTGAGGGATGATTGGAACGGTGAAGTTTAACCCAAGGTGCTGAGACGGAACCTTGTTTTCATTTGGTGATTGGATTCTAAACGGATAAAAAAGTTTTAAACCGGCTGCTTAACGCTCGGATGCCTGAATTATTTTAAAAGAATAAGCAAAATTTGTGGGTTTTATGTTATTCTAGGAGTCAAAAGAACACCTGCCAGATGTGTTGAACACGTTTCATTTAATCAAAAATTTCATATACGGGGATTCGTTTATCAACTGATACTTTACAGGCTGCCTTGGAGTAAGAATTATAGGCGTAAAACACGACCATTAGCGTAAAGTACAAGGTGCGCCTATCCGTAAACTCTAATTTGTACCTTACGTTGCAGTAATGCATTATTATAAACGCTTTATCTTGAGGACAAGGAACTTAAATTTAAGTGGTGTCCCTAAGGACATGTGGTGGTAAACCTTAGCACTCACTGTTCACGTACATTTTGTGCACACCACCGCAGTATCACGAAGACAGAAAGAGGTGAAATGGATGTGGCGTGAAAATGTCATTCCCGGAACAGCGTTTCTGGATTGTGAAATATCACAAATCCACCACGGTGGACATGATGACTGAGAAGTTGAATTCAGAAAAGATTATTTTTCCATCATGAACGTCAAATATGGGCTATGTCACGAAAGAGTAAAACCCTTAGGTGGATTAAAGTGAATAGAACAAATATTGGGACATGCAGAGCTCCTATTAAAGTTTATATTAAAGTCTCGGGATCGGCACCGTGGTGGTTGTGCACTGCGCTATGAACGCTGACCAGAGTTTAATTTATAGCAGGAATGACTCTTTGGTTCTTTCGGTAAAGTCAGAAAGAAATTAAGTAAAATAATAATAGAATACGACGTTTCGATTGCAACACAAGCAACCATCAGGTACAAATGAATGAGAAAACAAACGGTAAACTTGGAAATATGCAACAGAGTCGGCCAACAAAACAGTCAACACCCCACCTGGTTGATTACGTTCTTCGAAAGATTGCTAGATCTGAGAGACAAAACATAGACACGGACACAGACACAAGCAGAGAGAGACAGAGACACACACAGCCACACAGAAAGACAACGTCTCTGTGTCGAGGCCTTAAATAGAGAGAGAAGGGGGAGTTGTGTTGAATTACTGCCCCCATAGCGGCCGGAGGAAAAAATGGACCCATACACAAGCACGGTAGAAAGCAAATTGAGTAAAATTAGGAAGTGTAATACAATGCAACACAGAGTCGGTTAGCACACAGTTAACGCATAGCCTGGTTGATTACGTTCTTCCAAAGGTTGCTAAATTAGAAGTTGAAGTGTGAAACAAGCATGGAAAACCCTCCCCGTGGAGGTGGTTCAAACTAGATTATAGCTACGGGTTAGCATGAGGCACCAATGACGTCTGACACAGTCCTAGGCTCCCTCTTCACAAACACGTACTGACCAGCAGTGGTGAACTATGATCGAACAACCCTCTCGTGGCTGACAGAACTTGGGAGACCTTCATCCATCAGTGGATTGACAGCGAGCCGTGCATTATTTACTAAAGCGACTCGAGAAAGCAGCGGGCAACCTCGTATGCAGTAAAATGCACGGAATCTCTTTTTGTTTGCCAAACAATTTTTATTTAGGAAATACAAACACGCATGTGCGACAGAGACGGGACTGCAATAATGTCGAATAGAAGCTCACGCACAACGAATGCCACCACGTTCGTACACGGTCCGTGCAGCGCGATGTCTTGGTGCTAAAGGCTGCGCTGTGTCAATCCACCTTGTCCTACAAAACAGATGGTGGAGGCTTCACGCTTAGGTGTATGTTTGTGCAGTAATTCGAGCATTGTAATAGTATCCGTGTTTGCCCCATAACTCGGCAATAATTTTTTATTGATTATTTTTCACTTCTTTGAAATAAATACCCAATGCTGCCCTCGTTTATCCTCCCATGTATGTTCCCCCCCCCCCACCAGCTGTTCGCTTTTCATCTCTACGGTTTGCCGGTGTGTGTGTAGGGGTTCGGTGGAGCGGCTCAGCGCAGCGGCGAGAGCTCCGAGCGCTCGACTTTGTAGAACGCTGCAATGATGATGGCTTCACATTAACAGACGACGCATGCCGTGCGCAACACGTTACGCGGTTAAATGCCACTGCTAGCAAGCCAGACGCGTGCTAACAGAGTTGAAGTTGTTATGGGGCAAGTGGCCTCTGGGGGACCCCCGCGTCTCAATAAGAAACGTCGTAGTTTTCTGTTATTTTTGATTATTTTCTTTGAACCTATCTACGTGACTTTACCGAAAGACCCAATAATATGAATTCCTGCAGTCACGAAAGCTTTAAGTCAAGATTTAAGCTTGCATTAGGTTTTCAGTTACATTGCCGAGGTTACATTACTTTGTTGATATTCTTCATTCTTGTAAATTGCATTTTATTTAAAGCGCTCTTGAGATGCCTCGGTGTAAAGTGCGCGACATAAATAATGACTTAATGTTTTATATTACGCAGTATAGTTTGGCAGCGCCATCCAAAAGTTGTGTGGCTGTTTGACCCCTCCCCCCCCCCCCCCCCCCGTCGCTCTGTATTCCCATGCCCGTGGTCGTAGCAGCTATGGGATGACTTGTTACTAAAACTACACCTGTGTAGTGACCACGGGGACATGGGTGGGCCATCACAGGCACTGTGGTGGCCTCCGCGTTTGTGGAAACTACGGAGTCCTCTTCAAAATACCCCATTTTTAACTGGCTGCTCCGAGTCGAACCAGTGTCAGGTAACATTGAGACCAGGCAGACACATTATCTTTCCCCACTACGGCAAATCTCACTATCACAGTGGAGACAAAACCAGGCTGCCTTGTGGTTTTCCTTAAGCTATTTGGCATGGCGAGCCGGAACCAAACCGTGATACGCTGGCCTCACAAGATATTTATATCCGGGGCCAAGCAGGACGTTCATTGCGTGTGCCCTCGGTACACTTGAGGACACAGCGTCACCGATCGTCTTACGTGTTCATAATAAACGTTTTTGGGTTAGATCGCGTTATTTATAAATGTGTCGTAACCCTCCACCACCCGACACGGCCAATCAGCAAAAAATGTGTCACGTTGACAAAAGACAAATAGTTCACTACTTTAGCCGACCGGTGTGTTGAAGAGTGAATCCACAACATTTACAGTTTGAGTACGACATTTTGCTGGTAATTACATCCAGCATCATCGGGAAATTCGTGAAGCCCTCACTTGCTCCCAGTCTTAAATAGAGCAGCAGCAGGGTGACGTCATTTAACTAATTCAGGTGCAGTGATTTGAGACGGAGGGGGGGTATATAAATTATCGCAAACACAACTGTCGGCAGTGGCAGAACATGCTTGCCAACTAGGACACTCAATTTATTTTGATAACGTTGAAGTGTTGTGTAAAACGAATTATTACTGGCAAAAACTAATTGGAGAATCCATTGAAATTGAGAGAAACAGAAATAACTTTAATGGCTCTGACAGCTACAAGTTTAGTGCGGCCTGGAAGCGTAATATTAAATAATACATATTACAATTCCTTATAAGGGAAACACATACTAATTAACTGATTACTAAGTAGCATATAATTACAATAACATTACAACTAATTACTAATCTACAACTCATTACTAATCATAACAATTGACTGATTACCAATCTATTATATAATTACAATACCCCCCCCTCCTCAAATCACTGCACCTGAATGAGTTAAACGATGACGTCACCCTGCTGCTGCTCTATTTAAGACCGGGAGCAAGTGGGGGCTTCACTATTTTGGCGAATTGCCCGATGATGCTGGATGTAAATACCAGCGAAACGTCGTACTCAAACTGTAAATGTTGTGGATTCCCTCTTCAACACACCGGTGGGCTAAAGTAGTGAACTATATCTTTTGTCAACGTGACACATTTTTTGCTGATTGGCCGTGTCGGGTGGTGGAGGGTTACGACACATTTATTAATAACGCAATCTAACCCAAAAACTTTATTATGAATAATTTTGGTCACGAAAGCCTACGTGTTAAACTGATCTTACGCGTTACTCGGACTTGTTCATTGCGTGTGACGTCAGTGGCACGGCTCGGCTTCTGCAGTGGAAACACAATCTGGCGCCTCCCAACTCGCGCTAGGTTGGCTCTGTACAGCTCGGATGTAGAGTAGAAGAGGTATATGACCGCAGGCCCTGTTTAAGGTTCGAGTGGTAGGAGCGTAACCGAAACGTTAGGTTGAGAGGATGTGGGTTACACTGGCGCTTTGAGTTATGGCCGTTGCGTTTTCAAAAGGGAGCGGTCTTTGTTATCGATGCGGCTTTAACACCAGGATCGCGGTCAGCATCACTGATGGCCACGCTCCGCTAAATTATGAAAACGATGACTAATTTATTAAGGTAATATTTTAAGTTAAAATAAATACGAAAAAGCATCTGCGCAAGCAAAATACGTAAAAACATTTTACAACGGGGTGCCTGCATTGGCTCAGGGGGGAAACGCTTAATGAAGGCAGCCGACACTGCTGAGGTCCTAGGTTCAAATCCCAGTCTCCCAGCAGGGGTGAAACCACGCTGTCTGATGTAACACGTTTGATGGTCTCAGCCTATTGACCGATGACTGCAGACAAAAAATAAATCATAAAATAAACATTGGTTTGGCACATATTTTAACCTAGCCCAGTACTGAGGGACACATTTGTGTTCGGCAGAGAGCAACATCCACCCACCCGCCTGCAGTGCTACAGGGAGTTGCGGTCTTGTAAGGTAGAGCCTTTTCATATGTCGTGGCAAAGCCTGTGATGGTTGCACATCACAGGCTTGCCACCCTCGCGATTTCCAAAAAAAATCCTCTGCCAAGGTGCCGCTGGCAATAATTTGAGTTTCACTCATTCAAAAGAAAATCTGGTCACTTTCTTGAGAGGTCAAGCCCTCAAGCAAAGGCCTTCCTTCCACCTCTGCTCACATCTTCGATGCGGATGTCATCTTCGAGATTGTCCTGGTCTCTTGAGTTCTCACTTAGTTAAACAAGTACAACTTCAACCCAATACTCGCGAAAGAGCTGTGTTTCATTGTTTTTCAAGGTTTCAGTACACAATAAAAACAGCAGTACCACTGGGATCATTGAGACCAGGAAAATACATTTGCTTTCATCACGAAGGCAAATCCCATTTTCCCAGCAGAGGTGAAACCAGGCTGTCTTGTGTAGCATGTTTGATGGTGTTGGCCAAGTCCATAAATGCCTCTAATCTTGCGGTTCCACATGTTTTTTCATTGCTCGCATTTTGTGCCTTAGTCCTCTTTAAATTAAAACCTAGGGACCTCTTTGAGTGCCGGTAAATTGATTACAAAGTGCGCATGGACAGATATATGTATATTGAAGTAGCCGGGTGACTCAAGAGGTCGGAACACTGAGCCGGCACCGCTGAGAAACCTGGGTTCGCATCTGGGTTTCAGCCGCCTCTGATTAAATCAGGTTCTCGGAGTGTAATGAGCTAATGGTTTCAGCCCGATCACTAATGACTGCACAAAACACCATCATTAGATTTAGTTTGACACTTATTTTACGAAATTCCATCAGATTAAAAATTTCAGTTTGCCCTACTCTGTACAGAATGTAAAAATGTGGCCCTGGAGTTGCTATGAAGGCCTGAATCAACCTCAAAAGTAGGTCTGTAACATCAGTCAGTTTTAGTCTTTGACAATGGGTGATGCACAGACATATGCAGAGTTCCAAAGGGACAGTTCTTCGTCTCGTGCCATGATGGCGTCGACACAATTTGGTGGGAATAATAACCACTAAAGAAAGAATTCCTTGACTCGGCCGTCTTGTTGGCCACTTGCATTTCATTCTGTCACCCTATCATACTACCGCAACTAGTGTGGTGGCTCATCGCAACACCACGATCCTCGTGTCTCTTCAATCTCTTAATGTATCCTGCCGTACAAACACTCGCATTGTTGTGCAGATCTAATATTATTTTTAACGCCACGTTTGCTTACTCGGGAATAACTCGGCGAGTCTCAAGACTCATTCAGGAGAGTCCTGCAAATGTTTTGAAATTGGGTGATGTTGCAATGTTTATTCCCGTTTGAGTAATTTGCAGGTAAAATTTCAGCATTGAGATGTTTGGCCAATACCATTTACATTGTATACTTTTTTTTCTATGGGAGAAACATGGAGAACCCAGAGTAGGGGGAGTACATCTAAACTCCGCGCAGAAAGGTTCCCAGGTCGGGAATTGAATTGAGGCATTTCTTGCTTTGAGGCATGAATGTTACCAATGCGCAATATTGCCAACCTTTCAACCGGCATGACTCTGAACGCCACCTACTTAGATAAAAATGTTGAAAACTTAGAATAAAAATGCAGTATTTGGGGGGGGATTATCGCTGGGAATTGTGGCTGCACAACAGATGCTCTTCCATTCGCATCGTCCTCCACATTACTTTGCCTCCTAATATTTTATTGCGCTCCTGTTAATTATTCCTGTATAATGATTGTGCACCTTGACGGCTTGACTCCCAGCATAGCCTGCACCCTTTTTAATATCACTTTATATACTTTATCTCCTACATAGCCCGCTCTTTATTACGACAGTATTATGCACTCCTTATCTCATGCAGACCGCCCTCGGTATATTCACGAATGCATTATAACTGTATTATTAACGTGAGCATACACCTCCCGTGCCATTTGGCATTCTGCCAATTGAACATTTCTTATTACCGTTATCCAATATTAAAGGCATATATGAAAATTTTAATCCGAAAGAAAGTTTACACGGGCTTAACACAGTCGCCTCATCACATTTGGCGGTGGGCAAAACAAACGTGAAAATAATTCCTTCAAAACTGCGTGCAATCCCACCCAAGTTTCCATAAACGTTCCACAATCGCCAGGCATGATCGGGCATGTGTTCATCAACAAAACTCTTGACGTGGATAATAACCTTAACTTTGAGACCTCTCCTGCCAACGGGGTGGACTTTGTGTGAGGAGATTACGCCCCCCCCTGGTCAGTGTTCAAGTGGCAAAACATTTGATGGAAAAAAAATTCAGGCCGTAGAGAAACGACACCCTCTTTAGTTGATGACAATATTAATGAGGGCGATATTAATATTTTATCTGAGGAAGCCTTACTGACTCTCAATACTTTTTTTCGGAGCGATCCTGCACTGCGATTACAATCGGGATGTTTGACCAATTCATTTTCTTTTTTTACGAATACTTAATTCGCATGCGGGAAGGAAACCCAAGTGGCCCGGACAGATAAAACCCCGCCACTGCCTACGAATGGGGACAACACTAAAAATAAAATCCCCTCGGGGTTCTGTTGCCAACCTACTTGCTGTACTGCCGCCCACCGTCCTCGCGAAGGTTTAAGCGCACGCCGGGAGACTTAAATGGCCGTGGCTTCGTCGTTCGCAACGCTGCGAGAGCGCCGGCCGCCGGGGTCGCGACCCCCCGGAGTTACAGCCGGGGTTGGTGGACACGGAGCGGCGGTGCCACCGTTGGCGTTGATAAGGTCGTATGCCACGCGCTCGGCACGCTCCGGGGGCAGAGAGCACGCGTCGGACAGCTCGCGCTGGGTGAGCTTCACAAAGTCGGCGTCGCTCGCCAGCTCCTGCAGCCCTTCGGAGATAAACAGCTGTGGGGGGGGGGGGGGGGGCAGAAGGAGGGGGGACATGGGGTTTGGCAGCAGTGGTGAGAAAAGTGGTAGCAGTGCTTGTGGGGAGGAAAATGGTGGTGGTGATGGGGAAAGTGGTGGATGAAACTTTGTGTTGATGGTTGTCATGGTGGTGTTGGTTTGGGTGAGATTGGTGGTAAAGGCGGTGTGGACAGGTTTGGTCATGGCAGGTTGGCCATAACAAGGAGAGAGAAGTTGATGTGCATTTGTTTATGGTGGTGATTGCAGTAAAGTGGAAGGTTGAAGAGGTGATTGTGGTTGTGAGATATTGGATATTTGGTGATGGGGGAAGGTGGTGATAGGAGAAGGAGCAGTGATGGAGATGATAATGATCCAGAGGTGGTGTTGGAAATGTTTGCGGCAGTGGATATATCAGTGGTGATGATGATTATAGTGGTGGATGGGGGGGGGGGAATTGATCATTGTGGGGATGAAGAATTCCGTGATTATTGGAGTCGAGGTGTAGTTGGTGGTTGGGTTGGTGATAATAGCCACATCATTTATAGTGGTAGCAGAGATGGCAGCGGTGGTGGTGGTGGTGGTCATGTTGGTGATGTCAGTAGGTTAAGAGTCGCATGCAAATATACATTCGTAAGCATCTTCCACATTTCAATACTTAAACTCAACAAGAATCACATTCGTGTAAGGAGCGCTTAATTCGCCATGCAGCAGCAGTGCTCCAATTATATATATTTTTTAGGACGTCCCAGCGGAGGAAACCGCACACATCCCCCCCCCCCCTCTTTCCTAAGCGAACCTTGACCCCGTCAAGGGAAACCTCGACTTTCCTTAAAGGCCAAGACCTCCCCCTTTTGCACGCACAGGGCAGGTGAATAAAATATTAATAAGCGCTCGGACGGGTGGAGGATACCAATAATAATTGCGCCTGGCACTTGTTCACGCGCATGGGACGTGGCACGCGGGGACCGCGGGAAGGTTTGCCTCACGGCATCTGGGTCGCAGGATCCGAATTGTTTGGCCAGCAGTCTCTTGTCGCGTCCTAATTAGCGTGGTGGTTCTTTTTTTTGTTATAGGGAGGAAGGTTTTTTTTTTTTATTCCCAGAGCCCTCCAGCCTGTGGACACTTTACATTTTAGTCGGTGAGAACAGAAATCCCGAAACGTTTTAGCTATGTTATTTATAATATCTAATTTGGTATTCATGCCATCATTATGAAAGGCAATTATGAAGGCGCTGTATTTCAGACAAAGTAGTCTCACTATCTGGTTCTACTCGTGTGATTTGCGAGTAATAATTCAAATTTGGACTTTTGACGCTAGCACGCAAGGCCTACTCTTATTCGAAGGACGTCCTGTGACTTTCCACGTCCCCTGAAAATGGGTAGTATCGCTGTCATGTAGTCGAGATGTTTATTCCGAATTATTAGTGCGCCGTGTCTTATTCCATGTTCTTAGAGAATGGCCCCTGGAAGATATCACACAACTTGTTTCGATATCCCTTTCGGTGACCTCTTTTACACATACCAACAGGGCAGCACCTTTCCACACGCCCTGCTACAGAAAGAAATGTTTGCCACACGGCAGTCAAACCGATCGTTTTAATTTTCATGGGTCAGAATGAATCCAGCTGAAGTGAAAAACTAACGCTTTAATGTGCAGTTATTGTGCAGTGATTGGCAACCAGGAAGAGACCATCAACTCACAACACTTCAGGAACAAATGTAAACATGACGAGGCGGTTGAAACCGGAGGATCTCATTGGTGTTAGTACCGCGGTGCTCAGCATGTCGTGACCCCAGACTTGCCCAGCCACCTCGCCCCTGGAGCCCTTATTTACACCAAGAGCAAGAAGCTGGTTTAGTCTAACCAATTTAACTGAACCGTAAAACCAGGTTGTATAAATTACTTGTGTAATCGGGTAAAAACATTTACTCGATTCCTCAAAACGTTGACATAGCTCGTCTCGAGGGAAAAGTTTTTTGTCTTCGAAATGTGGTTAAAATGGTTGCGGAATACAGATTCACGTTATCTCATTTGAATGGGTTAGCGATGAGCATCATGTCCGAAAGCGACGACCGCCAACCCACTGGGAGGAGATTATGGCTGGAAATAAATATAAATAACGTGCAGAATTTAAATAAACGCAAATAAATCTAAGGAACCGGCGGAGGTTTTTTGTTGTTTGGAATGACAAATTGAAATTTGATGAGAATATGTAAATTCAAGCCTAAATAATTAACGCTCAATATCAGCTGAGGTGGCAGGTGGCTCGGGGGGGGGGGGATAAGTCAGTGTCAGAGACAGGGAACTGGCACCGCTGAGAACCTGGGTTTTGGAGGTCAGGTTCCAGCCACCCGTGATGAAACCAAGGTCCCGATGTCGAGAGTTGATGTTATAAAGCTAATTACCAAAGGCTAGCAAACAAAAAAAATCTTCCTCGGCTCTTCACTTAATGTGGGTTTATTTTTTAAGCTCTGAGAATTAAACTAAATAATGATGACCTCACTCTGTGTGCCCCTAGCATGGACGAAGAGGCACATTGAATCCGTGGCAATTCTCAGGTACGCGTGATGTTCTGCTTACTGCGAGAGCTCCAAATGGAAACTGTCTCATCGCGTAATACCCCTTATCACAAATTGGAACTGGAATATAATTGGTAGGCAAAAAAAAACAATTTAAGTGGTAATTTACCAAAAATTACAACATTATTAACTGGATCGCATTAATATTTATTTATGTATGGCCACGTTTCTCGGTTGCTGTAATGATAAAGTGGCAGCCAAGCAAGCGAACGTGTATCAAAAAACGTTCACTTAGGAGATGGAACGATAAAATCAACATTTGTGCAGGTATTCGGTGGATTGTCACATCGTGGGATTGTGAGAGATGGCGTCGGCTCGGGGAGCCCTTCATCCAGCAGTGGATTCACCATTGGCTGTGGATGTCTCTTAAAATGGTGCTTCTCAACCGCTAGCCGTCACACCTGCTCACGCTTGCCATTGCCGTCTGCCCTTCTGCTCATTGGCCATATTCCCTATTCCCCCACTCGTCTTGATGTTAATTGCGTCTAACGAGGAAGATTCTCTGCGTTCGCCAGCTGCTGTGACCCTAGCAGTCGGCAGACGGCCAATGGCCAGCCTCCGCCAGGTGCCACAGTTTGATTCCCACCACTGGTGCCTGGTAATTTCCGCTGGAGTGTCACGGTTGCTAGTTAATTACCCCATGGGTGGCAACACAGCCAAGGGGCAGCGTGTTTGCCGCTTGTTGCAGACGTTCCCAGTTCGAGACCGGTAGCCACCTCGGTTAATACTGTGGTGGTGTATTAACCAGAATTCTATAGACCGTCTGCGTTGCAGCGGGTGTCAAAATGACCGTGATGTTAATTCGAAAAAGAGTTTGCCATTGTGTGCCAGTGTCATGATCTCATTTTCTTGCTTCTTTCGGTAAAGTCACGTAGAAGGAAAATAATAAAAAATAAAACATAATACATATTTTATTATATAATAAAAAATTTAAACGTAAATATTTTATTATGTTTTATTTTTATTATTTCCCTTCTACGTGACTTTACCGCAAGAACCAAGAATATGAATCCCTGCATTCACGAAAGCTTTAAATCGAAAATCAAATTACTCATTTGGAATCCATAAAGAAATCATCACCCCCTCGAAAAAACTTGGCAGGACCCTCCTAAAAAAGTGTCATCAGAATTCTTGATAATTAAATTATATATATTTCATTGTGCCATCTGCCGGAGAATGGATAAGTTTATTTTGGCTTTTTCTCAAATTTATCCCAACTGTGCTCTGTCACGAGACAACACATCACTTGTGACTCTCGCACAGCAGTGCATCTTAGAAAAGCGACTGGCCGTGTTAACACATTAATTGGTCGGCTAAAATCTTAGATTAATATATAGAGGACCGCAGAGCTTGGGGTGGTTGTTGGAAGCTCTGGCTGACTGCCTGGCTGCTGAATTCCCGCTTGTCTGTGTTTCCTCGGTGATTGCGAGATGCACTTCGCATAAACGACGGAAAACAGTATATAAAATCAGGGCTTTAGAACTAGCGTTTAACCACTGTTGCTCTGACGTCGTTATGAGGCAATAACAATCCCACCAGGCAGTAGGAATTTTTTTTATATCTCTTCTCGAAGACACAGCCGCCGAGAGGCCTGCCCTCCCGAAACAATCCCCCTGAGACACCAGCGTGTCCAGGCGGTAGTGACGAGTGGCAGTGTGAGGCGAGCTCGCCTTAATCTAAGTTTTCTTGTGGTTGTTGTTTGACTTGCATCCCCCTGGGATTTTTTGCACACAGCGTTGGTGTACGGTGCTTTTTTCAGGAATATTTTCCTGTTTTTTTTTCATGGATTTTATGTTTGCACAGTCACATAATCACTTTAAGATGTTTTCTTGTTCGTTTTTTTGTTTGTTGTGGTTGCACCCGATTCAAGAGCCGAATGGCTCACAGGGCTATACTAAAATAAATCAACTAAACTGAAACTGCCGCCTTGCATGTCTGCCAGAGGCGCCCCTGCTCTGCTGGCCCACAAAACTGCCCTTTGCCCGGTTAGAGTGGGGATTGTGTCGTAGCCAGCCTGCGCTTCGACGCAGGCTCCCCCTGCCCGTTCTGGCTGTACAACATGAACAGCTGTTCTGAGGCTCTCCGGCCCTTAGACCCTTTTGAGATGCAAGATTACGCCTTGACGGGGTCCAGCCTGTGAAGCCTCATGCCATGTTGGCATGTTTCAAAGTAGAGGGGTCTTCTGAGTCCTCCTTCTCGAGGTCTATTTCTTTTAAATTACCCACCGCGCAAGAATGCTCGCCAACCCTATGAAACGTTGGAAATGTTTGGCCACTCTCTTGGGCCGTAAAATCCTGCTTGGCTGGGGCTCATTAAGCCTCTGTGGCCTCCTCCTCAGAGGAACATTTTGTCCTCGGGGGGGGGGGGGGGGGGGGGGTGTCTCCCGATACAGGAGAGGGGCCGCGGCTTCTTGGTGCTACATCCTGAGCCGCCGAGCTCTGTCCACACTTTATCACCATTTCCCACCATTCATTGGATGCACTTCTCCATTGAGCGATCCTTCGCCAAGCGGCGAAAGCACGAGAAGTGCGGTTCGCTGGATCCAAGCGCCGCCCACACTGCTGGCACCTCATTGCTCTCGCGGCCGTACCTTGCTATACGCTGCATAACGCTCGCCCAATTATTTATTGTAACGGTTAAAACAAATCCAGATCTGATGTAGATTTGACGCTTTCGTGACTGCGGGAATCGTACTCTTTTTTTGGTTCTTTCGGTAAAGTCACGAAGGTATAAAATAAAATAAATCACGACGTTTCGATCGCAACAAGCAATCATCATCAGGTGGGAAACCATAGCAAGAAAAATGTAAACAATTAACGAGCTGATTAATTGCCATTTAAGGACTTCGATTGCTCCATCCACTGCGGCTATTGCTGCTATTGAACTCGGGGGACGATTTTCTACATCCCAACCCATCGTACAGGGGTGAAACCATGCTTGACAAACTCCCTGATGTTGTGGGAGCTGTTATTTTCTGTAGCACCCAGCCCATCGAAAACTAACAAATATTGAGGTTGAGATGGCGGATGGGCCATATGAGGTGGGTGGGGGTCTCCTGCCCCCCTCTCTCGCCCCTGCAGGGGGCGGGGAGGGGAGATTGTGGGGTGTAGGGGGCTCCCACCAGGCTGGAAAAAGAGGATTAATGGGAGTGGCCGGTGCAGGATGCAGTTGAAACGTGATGGAATCGGAGTGTGTTTTGTACCACGGTATGAGCAACTAAATATGAACTGAATGTTACAATAGAAACAGATTTGCAGATATGCCACCGTTGAGATTTTTGGGTTCGAATCTGGGTTGTGGGTGCCCGTCATTAAGTTGGGTTCTCAAGTATAGAGCGAGTTAGTTGACAGCCAGCCCCAGTCACAAATGACTGCACAAACCCCCCACCCCCCCTTCACACTCTATTTGCTTCGTCACTTAATATTACAGCCTTCACCTCCGATTACAGCCTCGCGGTCATGACTATAATATTAAGTGACACACCAAATTGAATGCGATGGCAGTGTCTTTGTGCAGTCATTGGCAGCTGACAGAGTATTAAGATTCGCGTGTGCATCGGATACATTCACCTGACTATCATTAAGGCTCGGAGGCACTACCATTTGAAGAAGCCACGGCCGGTGATATGGTCTTAGCAGTAGCGCATTCGCCGCTTGCTGCGGGAGGTTCAAAGTTCGAATCCAGCAAACCGCCCTGGTTATTACTGCAGGTGTGTTCACCGTAAAGCACTCCGTGCTGCCCGCTTCACAGCGGACGTTATAGATCCTGTGGCGTCGTTCGCAAGACTAGACTTATTGCTTGCCGGAGTCATGGTTCAAGTATTTTTTTTCTCTCCAAATTTTCCACAAATTACTCAGTCGGGATGATCGGTAGGAGTCATCACCCTCTCCTGCAAATAAAAAAAAACTTGACGGGACCATCCTGAAACAGGAGACTCGTTGAAGCTTTGCTGGGTAAACAAACAATATAAAAATAATATGAACAAAGATAATTCAAATCTATGCTGCAACGACAAGCCATGAGGACAAATAAGGAGACCAAATGTATGAGGAAATTGACCAACTTATAAATGGGAGTGAAGCACTGCAACATAACATTAGGAGATGAATGCACAGGTGGGTACAGGGAGCAGACACGAGGGGATGATTAATATATTTGGTTTTGCAGTGAGGATTGAGAGAGAATGTCTATTAGATTCCACCGCCAGCAGCGACATGCAGATAATGAATTTCTCTTTCAAAAATGAGTCTGGATAATGGACATCCAGGGGCCCAAATAGCGAGACTGGAAGAAAATCGACTTAATTCTCACAAAACAAATTCCAGCGATGGTAAAGACTTGGTGTGGGGAGGTCCTTTATCCAAAAGTTAATATATGACGGCTCGCGATAATGTCTTAACGTGATGATAACGTCACCCGATGACGACGACGACGCAACGTTGTGACGACGACGATATCCGTGGATGATTAAAGCTATGAGGTGTAACGTTCGGGTCGATTGCCATGCGACGAACGTTCTTTGCAAAGCGTATACCAACCTCACCACGTCGTTTTGAAAGGAAGCTTACTGTGGGGACTTCAAAGATAGACTGACATCGCCATCATCTTCTTCAGAGGCTATTCCCTGACCCAAACCGGTGCACTGCTCGCCGTAAGAATTACGAACTCGTGACAAGATGCGCTAATGGCAGTGCAACCGTAATGCATTTGGAAGGAAGTAATTTAAAATAGTCACTCGCTATTAAACATTGCCTCGGTGAAGCTCGCCACGTTTGTCATTGACGTTGCCACATAACAGAAAAAATATACAATTGGATGTATAATAAATAGGCTGATGTTTTAGACAGGCCAAGTAAACGCGCAACGTTGGTTAATGTTCGGGCAATGTTGGCCCAAGGTTAAGCAATGTTGAGCCCAATGTTGGCCCAAAGTTGCATGTTTACACAGGTTGGCTTTCTTAGAGCAGAATGCGAGGGCAGAGAAGTTCACTGGCTCACAGTTGGAGATTGCACTGAATCCCGGGGGGCCTTGGGAGAAGTGACATTTCAAGAAAGGTGATAAATGGACGGTTTTGAATTCACATTCGGGCAGTTTTCTATTGGTGGACAGTGAGTATCAAACAAATCCTTTAGAAGTCGCACAAACGGGCCAGCGTGCCGAAGTCGAATAACCACTCCCATGACCCGCACGGCATGGAGAAGCCTTCATCCGTTAGTGGATTGACAAAAGGACCACATATATATACATGCATCACTCATAACGGTGTGTGTGTGTGTGTGCGTGAGTTACAGCCTGGATGAGACTCTCAGCGTTGCTGTTTGCCGGCTGCTGCCTCTGTCCACGCCCCGATCGCCTCCCCGCTCTCGTCGCTCCCCCAACACGAGCGTGGGACCCGGGGGCGGCAGATACCCCCTGCGACCGTGGTGGTGAAGTATGGTGGAGGGGGGTGGGGGAGGGCGTGGGGAGAGGTGGTGGACGAGTGGGAAAAAAAAAAACACAGAGTGAGGGGTGATGAATTACGGGCCCGCTCGTGCACTAATGTATATCGGAAATCATTTTAGCCGGGCCACAAAATATTTTCGCACTCTGCACACCGCATCCATTATATCTCTCGCTATTGCTGTGGCTACTGATAACTCGCATGCCACCTACTCCAGTCTACGAGCGACCCAGAAAATACTTCCACATTCAATTTACCTCTCGCTATGGATTATCTTCGGGTCACGTTCTTACGCCAGTCTTTGAGTGACCTGGAAAATATTTAGGCACCCAGAACACCGCATCCACCAGACTTCCTGCTATGGCTGCGGCTACTACTAAGTTACGTGCGACCTTCTCCAGTCTACCAATCGGTGAGAAATTCATCTGCTGTGGTGAGGGCGGGGGAGTCATTGATCGAGGCGTCTTAACGGACTGTTCATTTTGAACAGCAGACCGTGGGAGCAGAGGCGGGGATGATTGCGGTTGCAGCTTTGCCACCGCAAACATTGAAACAAAAAACTTCATTATTAACCCTGCCTCGTTGCAGCAGCAATAGGAGCTGCACTTCATAACTCATGTAAATGATCTCACAGAGTTTTCAGTTCAATTTCAAATCTCATTCTACTTTTTTTGCTTAATGTTTTGTATTATGGGTTTCATATGGCCTGTGATTCGCACCCCCATCTGCAGTATGATGCATTGTCAGGATTCAGTCTCGTGATTGGATCCAAGATTGGATTTTATTTTTGTAGGTGGTGCATCGTAGCACCTCTAGTGGCTGCAGAAGTTTCTGTGAATTTCAAATCTAAAACAACCCGCAGCCCCTTTTGTCAGCAACCCACTGCTGAATGAAGGCATCCTCACACCATATCAGACACGGCGGGGTTGTTTGACCACCCTTCACACTGTGCTTCATCAGTGCGGTGCGTTCCTGGCATCAGAACCCGGGTCTGTGGGTTCATAGTGCATTGCGTTGACCGCTGCGCCCCCCCCGCCCCACCCCTTCCCCCCCCACATGAACCCGGTTAATTAACTGAGGGTGCAGTTCATGGCTAGGCCATCATTGAAATGGCAAACGTTGAAGGTGTGCGGTCATTGAATTGGCTTTATAAAGCTTTCACCTTTGCATGAACAAAATAAACGGCGGGCCGTTAAAACTTCCGCCTCATCCTACAGTGTTTCTCGTTGCTGTGCTATCAACCTGGCGCAAGTTCGATTCCCGGCCACGGCTTACAGCAGTGGTGGCAAATGAATTCTGTATCCGGTGCAAGGGCCCAACCTGCCCCAAACGAACTTCCCTGTACGGAAGTGTGCGATGACCTATGGTCAAACAACACCTGTGACCGACCGGGTGGCGCGGGGAGGCATTCATCCCAGCAGTAGATTGACAAAAGGGCCCATACAATGCGCATTTACTAGGGTACAACTGCGGTATGGTCACTGACGGTGAGCGGTTTCCGTGGAGACGACGGCAATGCGGAGACGATGGCAACCGCGCGTGGTTTGGCACTCCGCCACACGATCGGCATAATTTGAATTTTCGTCAAATTATTTTTTGTTGCATTCACTTTCCTCTTTACGTCTGTTGTTCTGTTTGCTATTCAAAGTTGCTGCGCGCAGGCATCTGGTAGGTCCTCTCGGGCTGGCTCTGCAACTACAAATTCAAGCTACAATTACGAATGTTGCTAAGAGTATTAACGTCGTGGGGTGCTCGTCCAAGTCATTACGCAACGCCTTCGACGCACCTCACATTGGGACCGAGCACTCGGCGCCCAACCCCTGACGTTAATAAACATCGAACTTCCAAATGTAATGGCTCCCCCGCCCCCCTCCAGAGCATAAAAAAAATGCATTGCGCAGCTAAAGTTTCGTATTAAATGAAGAAAAATGCAGCGGCCAGCACGCTCGCGTGGGCTTCGTTGGGTTGTATCAGAAACATTCCCAAAATTGCATTCCTTATTGTTTATGGGCGCGGCTCAAAATGGCAGCACGATACATTAAACTCTCTTATTCAATTCACAGCCTCATTTCATCCTTGCGAGGTTGGAAGGTCCTTTGTAAAGGTGGCTGTGTGCGTGCGCGGGTGTGGGTGGCGGACCGTCCCCTGCATTCCCATAACCGCGAGCTCGCCTTCTCCCGCACATCGCTTGACCTTATCCCGGGACACGTGCCCTTACCCGAGATCAATTATAGCTTTCGTTTAACCCCCGCGCCATCTACTCACGAAACCTACATCTCCAGCGTATATATGGCCCCTCTCGTGAACCTCTATCCCATGCGTTCTCCGCCCTTCACCTGTGGACCACTCCGCCCCGACCCCCCACCGAGTCCCCATTGTCGGCCTATAAAAGAGCGGGTGACGAGGATGTTTTTGTAACTTCCTCCCCCCTCTTCTTTACCGGGGCTCGCCACGATGGGTTAAGACACTGGACATGAAATCCAGAGGTTACCAATTCATTTGAAAGCACGGGAGTGGTTGAAACTACAGCACGAGTGTATTTAATCCTTCCTCACCTCCTGCCCGCCTTTGTCCACCCAGCAGTATTTTCTATTTTTACCATGTAAGGCCCACTGAGCTATGTAGCTCCTTTTTCAGAAGCGACCTGGCCACGACAGATAGCCCAGTGAAGGAAATACTTTCTAAGTACTCGAGTGGAGGCCCTTCTGCCAGCAGTGCAATTGAGCAGGCAGTTGCAGGGCTTGCACGTATACCTTGCTCCTGGGGGCGAGAGGAGTGGAGGAGCCGCCAGCGATGGTAGAATCTCTGGCAGCGTTGTTTTCTAACCCTGCGCGCACGCCCACACCGGGAAAACCGACGGTAATTTAAAAAAAAATGTTGAAGATGGGCAAAATTTCTGATGTAACATAAATTATGTAAATTGTCTAATAACTTCATGTTTAGGAAAGCAACATTTTTATCCAAAAAACAGAACCGCTGCCTGCAGGTGGTGTTTACAAACAGGGCCCACCCAGCCTTAATGTAAATGGTCCCATCGGCGAAAACAAAGAATTTAGAGCCTAATTCTAGATTTGAAGTTTTCGTGACTGCAAGGATCCATACTCTTTGGTTCTTTCGGTAAAGTCACGTAGGTAAAAATTAAATAAAACAAAAAATGAAAACAACCAAATTAAATCGTGATTTTATTTAGTTTTCATTTTTTGTTTTATATTATTTAATTTAGAGCCTCCAAATAAAAAGGAACCTCGTTGTAATACACCGACCTTTTGTTGTTATTTGTTATAACGTCGGTGACTCACGTGTACGCGTTATTGTGTGTTACCCATTGTTATTTGTGCTTCGTGGCTCGTCTTTAAAAAAATTGTTACGAGAAAAAAACGGCGAAGTCTTCATTTGTGTCCCCTCTTGGCTTTCCCTACGCGGTCGCACCCCCGCACCCTCGACAGCTGGATCTGTTCTCCAAAGCCACTGCATTCATGTGGGGGTCAAGGCCAAGTTGTAGGGTCGTGGTAACAGTCCCTTCTCTAGCAGTGCATTGACTAAAATCTGTAAAATACTTTTTTTAAATGCACTTTTAATACAAAATGTCACTCCAACCAAAAATGTCTTTCTCTATCGATCGGTCCAGGGTTCTTTTGCTAAATGCAGGTATTTTCCATACTGCAACGTTTTAAAAATGTAAATATTGGCCACGTAAATCAACCAGGTCCACTCAAATTTGGCCACCTAAGGTGTTACCCGCAATTCTGATAACCTAATTGCGAGCCCACATTCACCCGCAAGAGGCAATCTTGGTGGCACGAGAACAACAGTGGCAGAAGGGGTAATTATATTTTATATCAGAAATTTTGCCAATGCAAAAAAAACAAGCTGGTAAGCCAGTGGCTTAATAGAGCCTCTGTGCGTTTTAGTGGGTTTGGCTTTACGAAGAAATGTCCACAATGGAAACAAAAGCGCCCTCCAACATATGACTACGTTCAGGGCGCATGGTCTCGGACACCTGCATTGTGAAACTCGCTAGCATGCAACATAACATTACAGATTTTCACTGATTTTTTTATTTCATTGCCATTCTTGTCAAAAAAAATCTACGCAGATTTGGAGTTGGTATTGATAGGTACTGTTGATTTTCGTAACAATTGCTCATCATTATTTATTAATTCCGCACCTCCCATGCTCTACATCTGGATTGATTTTGGGGGGTTTGTATTTTTTTGGTAAAACATTAGTGTTTTATGGACAGACACTCAGACGGACAGCTGGACAAGTGTACAGACGAACACATGGGGCAGATAAATGGGACAGACAGACTGACCGATGAATACATGGATGGAAGGACATACGCGCGCACACAAATGTATGGATGGACGGACGGATAACACGAATGGACATGCAGACCAATAGGCAGACAAACGGATGGACACGGACAAGGGGCCATCCATTTAGTACGTACGCAAAAATCTGTCAAAACTTGACCCCCCCCACCTGCGAACGTATGCCTGAAGCAACCCCCCCGAATCCTATAGAACGGCCGATATTTCATCCACGCAGAAACGATCAAGGATTAATAATATTAACGTGTTTAAGCAAACAGATCGTCCACCGCCGGACTGTCTAACTAATTTGAAGGCCAATGTAGACAAATTATTATCGAGGCTTCACCCCCCCCCCCCCCGTTTCCGATGCGTACGTACATTGTCAGTAGACCCCCCATACGCAAGCGTACGCATTTGGGTTAACCCCCCCTCCCCCCCTTCATGCGTACGTACTAAATGGATGACCCCCAAACAGACACTCGTACACAATGACTTAATTTATCCTTCGCATGGCAACAAGTATTCTGCCGGCTCACTTAAAATAATGGAGAAAAGCTCAAGAAAATCAAATTATGACGAGACAGGAAGCAGGAGGAGGTGGGGGTGGGGGGGGTAGGGAGACTCGCGCACACACACACACACATCCCCCACCTGCAATGGCCTGTGTCTGGAGGCAAATCTGGTCCACGTCCTCCCCGTCGCCGTGACAACGGTTGCCGGGCGGCAGCTCCAGTTCGCGCTCGATGACGACGGTCTCACGATGGGACCGGGCCGTCGCGCTCCTGCCCGCGCGTAAACTCGTTACCCCTCCTCGTCGTCATCGTCTCTGTCATTATGACTCTTATTAAAGTCTGTTTTGCCGTTCTCGAGGGCGTCATTATTAATGTGTCGGGTCAAGGGGGGGGAGGGAAGGGTTAGAGGATGGAGACGCTCTGGAGGATCTGGGGAGTGTAAATGAAGGGGATTTGTTATTTATCACAAGTGTCGCAAGTCCAGTGTGGCAAGTGTGGTCAGCTTCATCTGGATTTGTCTTCGTCGGCATCGCCTTAATCGTCGTCATTATTTGGAGTGGCATAATCTACAGCACCGTCCTCGTAATTCGAATGCAGCAGTCGTCACCGGCGGCAGCAGCAAGTGCAGGTTCTGTGAGCAGCGGCGACATCGTCTTAAACGTCGGCAAAAAAAACATCAAGTGCTACAACAACAGCTGAAAGAACCAAAATCTGCAGCAGCATCAACAGCGGCAGTCACATCTTTATCCTCGTAACCATCATCATCATTACTTTCATCGGCGACTTTTATATCATCAACATCATCTGCGTCTATCGGTGGATCGAAAATAACCACTCAACACGGGTCCCTTCCCTGCCCATCGCCACCATCATCGCCACCTGTCGCATCGGCCGTCGCCTTCCCACCACAAACAAATAATCGGTGCCTTGGGGAGCAGAAGTCACAACAGCAGCAGCCGCTCTCTCACATCCCTCCATTGACACGCACACAAAGACAAAGGTACCCCGTGTATAGCCTTGTGCAGACTTTTGGGGCAGGTGCCGTTCGCGAGCACTGACAGAAGGCCGCCTGCCACGGCACACAATGGGGGGTGATGGCCAGCACCATTCCCGGCCGCCTATCTCCCCAATGCTGATATCTGACACACTGCACCAGGTACTAAATTAAGGCGGAGTCGATCTAAGGAAGACCCCCCCAGGACCGGGTTCAGATATTTGTAATCGGTGTGTGGTTTCACGGGGGGGAATGGAACGCCGGTCACGGGGTTCGTAGCGCAATGTTCTAACCACCACACTTACCACTTGGGGTAAAACACACCCACGCAGAACACACACGCAAGTAAACGCTCACGCACACACTGAAACGCACACGCGCTAAAAGACACACACGCGAACATAAGAACATGCAAACACAAACGCGTGCAAACACACACCACACACAAACGTGCACTCAATTACACTCAAAACATAATTACACAAACTCAAACACGCGCGCGCTCGGACATCTCAAATGAATTTGGCTGTGGGACGGCAGCTGTCATCGATGCGCGCGTTAACATTTTGCGCCAAAGTCATCCTGGGGTTGCTGTGGCTTTGTGTGAAGTAAACAACAACAAGACCAATAGTCATGAAATCTCTTCCGCCGACGCCGCGTGGGTAGCCTGGACCTTGGGCAAACAAAACTCGACATGATGGATAATAATAATAACTCCATTACTTGGCGGGAGACGTCTTTACATATACAGCGCACCACTGCGGCCTTAAAAAGGCAAATGAAAATGATGGGCGAAGTTTTGGACAATGGCCCTTCTTTGTGGCACGTCGAAAAATGTGCTACGTTTATCATGAGCACGAATCGAGGGTCACCGAGTTCGTAGCGCAGTGCTGCGATATTCTTTGTATAAAAGGCCGGATATTGTTGTTGTTTTGGCACCACTGTCAATGCAGCAGCAGCAGTAGCATCAACAAAAGATTTGTTGTAATCTTTAATACATCGAGGACGACTGCAGAGCCTGGGCCACTTGTATGATATCACATTGTACCAATGTATATATTTATTGCATTGGCCCCTACACACAGCACCAGGTACTCATTCAAGGCCGAGTTGATTTCGGGTGTACCACTCTTCTTCGTACCGCTCTGCAATGTGATACGTTGCATTGTAATCGGGGTGCCGTTCCACTGCGGTTAATGTACCGCGTTGTGTTGCATTGTAGTTTTATGTACCGCGTTGCATTTTTCTCTGTCAATATTTTTTTTATGCTGCGGTGCATTCCATTGACATAGATGAATTGCGGATAGCAGGGTACATAAACAGAATATTAATAGGAATAATGAGAGAGAGACAAGTTACATTTCTTGGACTTGCTATGAGATAACAAGAGACTGAATATAAATGTGACTGGGCCCATTACAGGTACAAGAAGCCAGCCAATTAAGTTCACAACAAGGAATTTAAACAAGTGGATGCAACTGGGAGGAGCGTCTAATGCAAATATTGTGGACAGAGCTACATGAAAGAAAGGCCACGATCGCCGACGTCTTTAAAAAACAACGTGGCGCACACAGAAAGAGAGCATTGCATTCCATTGCACCGCATTGTGATTCATCTTATTGCAGTGCATTATTCCATTGTGTTTCACTGCATTGCATTCCACCGCATTGTGATTCATCTTATTGCAGTGCATTATTCCATTGTGTTTCACTACATTGCATTGCACCGCATTGTGATTCATCTTATTGCAGTGCATTTTTCTATTGTTTAATTACATTGCATTGCACCGCATTGTGATTAATCTTATTGCAGTGCATTATTCCATTGTGTTTCACTACATTGCATTGCACCACATTGTTATTGATCTTATTGCAGTGCATTATTCCATTGTGTCTCACTACATTGCATTGCACTTCATTGTGATTAATCTTATTGCAATGCATTATTCCATTGTGTTTCACTACATTGCATTGCACCACATTGTGATTAATCTTATTACAGTGCATTATTCCATTGTGTTTCACTACATTGCATTGCACTTCATTGTGATTAATCTTATTACAGTGCATTATTCCATTGTGTTTCACTACATTGCATTGCACCGCATTGTGATTCATCTTATTGCAGTGCATTATTCCATTGTTTCACTACATTGCATTGCACCGCATTGTGATTCATCTTATTGCAGTGCATTATTCCATTGTGATCACTACATTGCATTGCACTTCATTGTGATTCATCTTATTGCAGTGCATTATTCCATTGTGTTTCACTACATTGCATTGCACTTCATTGTGATTAATCTTATTGCAATGCATGATTCCATTGTGTTTCACTACATTGCATTGCACCACATTGTGATTAATCTTATTACAGTGCATTATTCCATTGTGTTTCACTACATTGCATTGCACTTCATTGTGATGAATCTTATTACAGTGCATTATTCCATTGTGTTTCACTACATTGCATTGCACCGCATTGTGATTGATCTTATTGCAGTGCATTATTCCATTGTGTTTCACTACATTGCATTGCACCGCATTGTGATTCATCTTATTGCAGTACATTATTCCATTGTGATCACTACATTGCATTGCACTTCATTGTGATTCATCTTATTGCAGTGCATTATTCCATTGCGTTTCATTGCATTGCATTGCACCGCATCGCACGAGATTGCATCGCATCGAGCAGCGTCGCGACCGATTGCGTAGACCGCGTCGCGTGCGGCACACGGCGTCGAAACGCAACTCACCGCACGGAGCCTTTGGTTGTGGGTGGCAACCCGGCACCGCCACCGGTGGCACCAACACCACCACCACCGGCACCACCGTCGACAGCGCCGCGGGCACCGGCGTAGCGGCGGTCCTGGGCCCCGCGCGGGCCCCCCATGCGGGCCCCCCACTGCTGGGCCGAGTTGTTGTTGTGGTTGACGTTGTTCTCAGGCAGCGGCGTCAGCGGAATCTCCTCGCCGTCTGCGTCGGGGGCGAAGAGGTCGTCCTGCAGGTACGAGTTCACCACGGGCACTGGGGCGCGGGGGGCGGGGCGGGGGGGGGGGGGGTTGGGAGGCAGAGGTCACAGGCCGGCAGTGCAGGTGTGCTCAAGGTTCACGGAGGGTGCTCATGGGCGTCAAGGTTTCATGGCAGGGTGCAAGCGGAAGTCAGTGCGGGTTTGGCGAAGAGGGTGCAGTGCAGATGTCACTCGCCACCGATGTTAGCCACAGCCCGGAATTGACCTTGGGTCACAGGCTTGATAACAATAACGATAATTGAAACTTATATTGCCCCGCCGCCGCACCGAATTCACTCGCTCTCGAAGAGAACCACAGACGAGCTGGAAGTAAGCAGTGAGGCGGTGAGCCAGTGCCAAATTCTCCTCCAAGCTCTGCGGTCTTCTATATCGCAAGGTGTTATCGGTCCATTAATGAGTGCCTACATGTGGGAGGAAACCAGAACATCTGGTGAAAACCCACACGTGCGACAGGGGGCAACAATCTACCCATAAAAATGGAACAGGCGGGTGTCCACATTTGCTGTACCGCCTTCTCCTGGCGAGCCAGGGAGTTTCACATCTGTGCAATGCACCAACCCTCTCGGCCTCCACATTGCTGGGTTACAGACCAGGTGCAGCGTAGCCACCACCATCGCCCAGCTATGGCGTCCATAGCGCAGTGTGCTAATCGCTGCATCACCGCTCCTCCCCGGCACCTACTACACATCGATTAAACAACAGAGCCTCTGACGAGAAAAAAAAACCGTGGTGTTGGAAAACTCGTGTGAATCAGAATATTGAGACTGGAGGAATCTGATGAGCTGTAAAGTAGGAGCGGGTTAGGATGTTACAACAACAAACAATACCAAAACACGGTTAGATGCTGAGTATAAGAAAGGTTAACAAATCACTTTTAAAATATATACAAATAAAACTAAACTATTTTTGTATCCTACCAGGTAAAGCCCACTACGCTATGAACTTATTTTTCAGATGCAACCTGGCCACAAATGATAGCTCAACGAAGTGGCTTATCACGTGGGTATTTATAGCAGCAAAACAATCCAGGCGCACGTTGCTGAATGAGAGCGTCACGCTGCGCCGGGTCCTCACCCATCATGGGGCGGCGCTGGGCGTTGGGCGAGCCACCCTTCTGGATCTGCAGCGGGCGCTGGGTGGTGCGGGCGGGCGATGGAGAGCCACGCCGCTCGTTCACGCCCAGAGGGTAGAAGTTCACGTTGTTGGGGATGCCTCCGTGTGACCTCTGCGGCCCCGCCGGGGGTCGATGCGGAAACAGCAAGGGAGAAAGAGAGAGAGAGAAGTCACGCACGTGCGCGGACGGTTCATTTGTCCCCAGAAGTGTGGAATTGGCGATAATTAAGTTTGCGCGTTCCAAGCCGCACGACGAGATGAGGTCTTGCGTGACGGTGTCACGAGGAGGCGAGGTTCGTGCGTGGCGTGAAGGTTGGCGCCCAGGCCCAGGGAGCTTTTTTATTGCCAACTTTTGGGCAACTCTGTCATCCATTTTGCCTGTTTTATAGAGGATAACTCCCTAACAGAAACCCAACTTTATCCTAAAATGTAATTACCATTGGAACTTGTTAACAAGAGTTATCGTGACCCCCGTGTTGCAGACAGATGGACATGCAGACAGACTGATGGACACAGCTGATCCTATATAAACGATTCAATGAATAGTCACAAATTCTGGGTCACGATTCGATTCAAGAATCTATTCGTGGCTTTGTCTCATTCGTGCCATGAGGTGATAATAGTGATGGCAATGGTTAGAAACACTGGCTGATGACGATGGTGACAATGATGGCAATGATGACATTGATAATAATGATGATGGTGACATCATCAAAAGTTGATGGTGACATCATCATTACATGTGATGATGTACGCTCATGATTTACATTTTAAAATCACAGTAGCAGAACAGAAGGCCCAAATGCCCAAAATGTTGGACGGCCAGCAACAAAACAGCACTACTGAAGGTGTTAAGAGATAAGAGGGTAACATGTTTGTTGAATCGAGCGAGGTTAAAATAAGAGCAGGGCAAAAGAGACGATGACGGAAGGGAATTCCAAAATGGAGCAGGGCGAGGGGGAAGCATAAAATGGAAGCGTTGTTACTTGCAGCGTGGCGAGCGAGTGAGTTACGTCGTGACCCGCAGCGTTGGTGTGCGAGCGGGTGTGCGAGCGGGTGTGCGAGCGGGTGTGCGAGCGGGTGTGCGAGCGAGTGTGCGAGCGAGTGTGCAAGCGTTGTCGCGACGGGCAGCGTGGCGGTCGACCACGGTGCGGCCGAGACGATGGCACCGACGAGAGCGACGCGAATGACGACGCGGCGACGCGGGCGACGCGCTGACCGCGAAGACGTCGTCGTCGTCGCCGTCGAGCGTCCGCTCCAGCTCCTGCAGGTCCCCGGAGATGGCGCGGCGGATCTCGGGCCCCGCGTCGTGCAGCGTCCGAAGTCCGGCCTGGAGACGCACGTGGGTGGGGGAGGGGGTCAGGGGGGGGTCACACGGAGGGGTTATTCCTTTCAAGCCTGGGTCGGTGGTTCAGAAATTAGCTGTGCACCCAGGCGCACCGCACGGCATAGTATGTATGGTGAACTTCTTTCGCACCGTACGTAGCCAATCGTGCTAATCGGAGGTGTGGGAGAAGGAAAACAATACTCGAGCCGTGGCTGCGGCGACGAGCCAGTCTACCAACAACCCGGAAAAAATATTCAGTGAGAAATGGAGGCCTGGTTCGACGAGGTAGGGGAGAGTACGAGACTCGAGTCCATCTTGGGCGGATGTACCCAACGCCCCCCCCACGTCCCACCCCCCCCACTCGTCGCTTCGCGTCGTTCATTCGGCTCGACGGTCACTATCCTACGATGGGTTTTGTTTAAAATAGATTCTTTTTTTTTCAATAAAATTCCATTTCTTCCATTGGCATTGTGCCATAAAGTGAAGACATTCGGAAGTCAGTTCGCTATCAGAGAACGATGCCAGAGAGGCACAATAATTATAAAGTCATTCATTTATACCTCTTTGTCCGCAAATATTGTTTGCCGCATGACAATGAAAGCACATTTTTGAATCTTGACTTAAAGCTTTCGTGACTGCAGGAATTCATATTCTTGGGTCTTTCAGTAAAGTCACGTAGATAGGTTCAAAGAAAAGAACAAAAATAACAAAAAACTATGACGTTTCGATCGCATCAGGACGTCATCAGGACGATTGCTTGTGTTATTTTTTGTTATTTTCTTTGAACCTATCTACGTGACTTTACCGAAAGACCCAAGAATACACATTTTTGAAGTCTCATAACTGCTGGATGATCCACATTAATTGAAGAACTGAATTTACTCTTTCTGGTTTTAATTCAGCCGGATGAGAGCCTAATGAGATGTCTCCTCTTCGAGGGAGACGTTGGTCGCAGTGGAAAATGCATAACCAAAAAACGATTTTCGTATGATGTGCAGTCGTTGGTGACTGGGTTGAGACCATCGACTCATCATCACAATCAGGCCACTATAAATACACTGCTAGAAGAAGGCTTCCCAAAGCTATCGCCATGACCATCATCAACCCACTGCGCTTTATTCGCGGGTGGATGAAACAGAATTCAGCCAGGAGCTCAGCGGTGCGTTCTGACCTCCTCTGACCTCTGAGCCACTGGGCCATCTCTCAGATGGAAGGAGACGTTGATTGGCAGAGTCGACCACCGCTCCCCCACAATGGCGATTTGAACTCCTAACCCTTCCGGCTGCGAGTGGAAGCCGATCGGACGAAGCCGCGTGTTCAAATTCCGCCTTTCACGGGGAGGAAGAATTTAAACCGATTCAGGAAGACGCCACGCGCTCCCCCACTCTGCATGCAGGACGGTGGCAGCGGCAGCAGCGGCAGCAGGGACACCTCCCGCGTAACGAGCGGAGCGGGCGCTATCTCCTAACCACTTTTTGCACAAAAGCGCAATCGCCCCGCGCGCCTCCTGCGCTCCCCACCGCCGTTGGCCGCGATCCCCCCGCACGCTAAGTGGCTTGGTCGCCCGCAGGACGTGGAACCACGCCGCCGGGGTTTTTATTTTATCGGTTCGCTCCGTCGGCGCCCGCGCGCGCGAGGCGGCAACGCCTCGTTCGATAAGCCGAGACCCGCAATTTCAGCGTTGATTTGGTGAAAGTCTGTCGTCTCCTCGCGCTCCGTCATAACCAGGGATTCATTTCTCGCTCGATATATTCCAGGGCCGGTTTGGCTTGAAATATATTGCTGTAAGGCACTACCACTAGAGCAAAATATGTGCCGACCCATAATTATTGTAGCCTATTTAGGTGATTCCTGCATAATTTCATCCTACACGATTGTACCCTATGTTTGTGTACCCTACGTTTTTGTACCTTACGGTATTGTAGCCTTTGGTATTACACCCGCCGTTATCGTACCCTGTTATCACACTCTACGTTATCGTACGCCCCTCTGTGAATGCTCCCTATATTCGTACAAACCAGGGCAGTGTCGCGAGGACACAATAAGGCGCGATGGGTGTGTGTGTGTGGTGTGCGAAAAATCATTCCCAGAAACAGCGTTCCGGACCGTTCCGTCTGAAATTAAGCGCCGCTCATAACTGAACGGTTGATGTCCGTGACAGACGCTCGCACTCCTCGACATCTGTCTCGCCAGCAGTCCCCCATTAAAACTGCTTACATTGTCCCACCAACTCATCCGTATTCCACCTCGTCCCCCTCTTCCCTTCCACCCTCGTCACATCTCCAGCTGCGCACCCTCCGAGGACGTGTCCCGCATTGCACCGCTGTCCCCACGCTCGCGTTTTCTTCCTCTCAGCTGCTCCGGCGTGGAGCTCATCCCCTCTTCCAACCCAGCAGATTCTTTATTCTTCCTCTTATTGGGACCAGCCAAATGGTTCCTATCCTTTTGTCACGGTAGCTTCAACATCAACGACAGCAGGCACTATGCTGCAGCCTGCTCCCGCCTCTATCAGAGAATGCAATTTGTGGACATTTGCTGATTTAGTTGTTCTCCTTTTGCTCCCTACCCCTCCCAGTTGGAATTACGCGGCGCTCTCGACGCGTGATGGAAAAGTGGCGCTCACGCCCCCCCCCCCCCCCAAATCGAATCAGATCCACTGTCGAGTTTGAGCCTCGGCCAAATAAGATTCCGCACCGTCAGGCCGTCCGCCTGACCATCCTTCACGGGAACGGCGCGCGATAACGCGTCCCCGTTTCATTACTGCCGGCGCGCGGGGACGGAGCGGCGCTCTCAATTGAACGGGGAAGTGGATTTCTCTTTTAATTATTAATATTTTTCTTCTCACGCGAGCCACAGAGAGCGGCGGGGCGCGGTGGAAGCCGTAATCTCCTCATCTTCCAATCTCGGGATTAACGCGAGTAGTTTTTTTTTTCTCATCCTGCTATCTCCGACCCCCCACGAAAGGAAACCAAGTACGTCCTCGCTGTGGCGTTATTGATGATGACGATGACGACGACGGCGGCGGCGAAGGATGTTACGGTGAACAAGTTGAAGGTAATTACGAAGACAGAAGATGGTGAACGTGTCGAAAAAACAAAGATTTTGATGATGACGGGGAATATAGATTTTTTTTTAACAACAATGACAGTGATGATGGCAGAGATTACGACGATGACTTGAGCTCATAATCCTATTGGCCGATAATTCTTGATATTTTTTTTTTAACTCAACACATTCGCCGACAACACTGTGTGGCTTTAAAAGGAAAAAAAATAGATTTAAGTGGCGATGGCCCTTTCTCATGGCATGTAACAGCACCGTTTTTATGAAGGGCATTTGCTCGAAACGTCGCCTGTTAAATATTGTTTTCCTTTCAGGGCCAGTTATTTATTGCCGAACGTATTGAGTTGTTGCTTCGTGAAACTGTGTTCGGGCACCACTGCCAACGCAGCAGTGGTAGCCCCGGCGGCGGCGGCAGCAGCTTTGTGCAATGTTTAATGGAGAGCACAGATGCTGACGATAGGTGATGTTTATAACGATCGAAATAAAATGTTTCTGACTGATAATCCTGGATAGATAGGGCCGGTGTGCTGACCGCTCAATAGCACTCAACTTGGACATGTCTCTTAAGAATCTATTTTTTTTGTGGCTGGAGAGCCCTAAACTCCTTAATTCTTTCACCAACCTCTGAAGTTTTAACGCGAAAATGGCGATAACGGCGATGGTAATGATGATAATGATAATTGCAGGCACAAGCCCCATGCGCAAGGACGCCTTCCCAGCCTCGCGCACACCTGCAAAGCTGTGGGGTCAATTTAACAGCAGGAAAATGAGCCAATTACACAGCACGCTCGCGTGACCGATTTGCATATTTATTTATTTTTGGCCGGCGAGTCGAATTTTAATTCAGGAATTTCCGAGCGGGGTCTGTCCTCTTCGGAGGGGGGGTGGGGGGGGGTAAGACGACAACGACGACGCATTTATTTTTGACGGATTCGTGTGACTCGGGCCGATGCCCGGAGGCGGACGGGAAACTTTGCGGGTGGCAGGGGGAGTCGCTCGCTCACTCGCTCGCTCGCTCGCACGGTCACGCACGGAGAGGACGGAACGCTGCGGTCCATCCTTGGGTCTGAGACAGTTTTTGCAACAGACCGAAGACGGTGCTGTTTACTCCGAAGAGCTTACTCCCTGCGTGATCAGCGCGGCGCATTCCCAATGGCCTGGACTCATTAGGAGTGCATGATAACAAATGCTCACACTTGCTGGTGCACACGCACGGAGACGCGCGGTTTAAGCAAATAGATCGCGAGAGATCGCGACCGTCAAAACTCTTGAATTTTTTTGTTCATGCAAATGACTCAACCGCCAATCACCGCAAACACAGGATTTCACGCTACAAGCTCGAAGACGTCAAAAATTTCAGCGCTTGTCATCTCCGATTAGCCAAGCCCATCGCGAATAAAATTAAATTTTTGCATAATAACGCCGGGGTAAAGTCGCAACGGTGGGACAAGTAATTTTCTAAAAGAAAAAAAACTCTGACCCCCCACGTCACTGCGCACAACCTTCTGTCCTACGACCGCCGCTTGATTGAATTCGGCACGACGTGTCCTCTCTGTGGACGCTCCCCTGGAGGCGCGGTCTTCCCAGAACTCAAACACTCTGCGAGTGACGGGGGACGCACGGAAACACTCGTGTGCACGCGCGCGCATGACGGACGCGCGGACGAGCACATGCAGACGTAGGCGAACCAATGGTGATGATGATGACAACGATGACGATGTTGACAATGACATCGGTGATAATGAATGATGATGATAACGAAGTCAACGACGTTAAGTGACGAATGACGACGATGACGATCACGACGCCAACGACGACGAGGAGGCAGCACGGGCGGGGACACAAACACGACGATGGAGGAACGCCGGGTTCGAGTTACAGGGAGGCAGGATGGAGAGACGTGGGACGAGGAGGAGGGAAAGCGAAGCCGCCGTTCTCCCTACGCTGTAGCAGCTCATGTAGGAGATGGAGTAGTCGAGGTCCACCAGGTGCCAGTCCCTCCGACCTCCGGCTGACGCGCGCATCGCGATCCCGTCCGCGCGCAGCGTTTCCTCCCAGCGTCAACTCCTGGCCCCGTTCCGTCCGTCTGTCCCAAGCAGCCTCAACTCCCACCGCCTCCCCGCGCTGCCGTCTGTCTCCCCAGCCTCAACTCGCGGCGCTTTTATGTCGCCGGGTTTTTTTTTGTTTGGCACCGTACCTCCCCCGCTCGCACCGCCACCCGTCCAACACCTCTCCCACTCTCCCACCCTCCCACCCTCCCTCTCCCCCTCGCTCTCTCCCACTCCCTCCCTCTTCTCCTTGCTCTCTCCGTCTTTCGCGAGCCCCTCCGGTTCTCTCTCGGATTTTTTTTTCTGCCGGCTTTTAAAATCCTGCCGCTGTACGGGATGAACACGTACGGCCCTCCTAACGCACCCCCACCACCACCGCTCCCACGCCCCCCCCCCCCCTCTCTCTCTAGCTTTTGTTCCTCGCACACCCGCGGCATCAGTCCCACACCCCCCGCCCCGATCAGACACCTGCCAATTCTGCTCCACTTTAATGCGAGGCGATTTGATAAAAAATAATCAGAATGAAAGGAATTCGGAGATAGAGATGGGGGGGGGGGGGTGGTGGGAAGAGAAAAAGAGGCTGGACAGCTCACATCTTTCCAGCCTCCCGGCCCAGTTCACTGCTGCTCTCCTGCGCCTGGTGGCTCAGTGGTACAGCGAAACGACTCGCAATCATCAGAAGGTTGCGAGTTCAAACACCAGTCGGGGCTATCACTCGGGTCATCATCTCTGCGGGGTCGATAAAATGAGTACCCCGCTTTATGAAGTGGTCAAGTTGGTTGTCCTCTGGAGAGACTTGCCCCTGCCATAGGAATGTGGAATTTACACCACTTCAGTGCTGTAAATGGGAGATGAGCTCATTTGAATGGGAAATCACTTGGATAGTTGGCTTTTTTTTGCTGCTGCTGCTGCTGCTCCGCTCAAAGTCAAGATGATTGCACCAAAATGGGAGTCGTTTGTGCCACGGAAATCACACCCATAAATAACGATGAGAAACCTCGTTTCACACGAAATAACTCTTTTTTTTATCCACCCCACTCAGAGGCTCCGATTCTCATTTTTCTTCTGAACGCGCAATTTAAACGGGACGTAAATTAAATGCTCGCACAAACACATGTGTGCGCACGAGCGCGCGCGCGTGTGTGTGTGTGTGTGCGCGAACGTGCCTGTGCGTGCGTGTGTTATGGGGGAGCGGTGGCGCAGTGGTTAGTGCGCTACGCTATGAACCTGGCGACCCAGGTTCGATTCCTGCTCACGGCCAACACTGGTGATGATTATCTGAACCAGTCTTGGGGCTCCCCTAGTTCGATTCAGCCTCAAATGAGTACCGGGTGCAATGTGTAAATACTGGCACTGAGGAGATAAAGGTTGGTGGGCGTGGTACTGACCACCCATCCCCTTTGCGTGCTGTGCTAGCCTTCATAGTTGTTTCATAACAACACTTGCCCCATCATTGTTTTAAAGGCTATATGGGAGCCTTCGCCATTTTTGTGTACGTGTTCACGTATGTGCATGTGTATGCGCATGACTGCCAGTCAAATCCGGACACAGTCCCATCGGTGAGCTACTCCGGCAGGCAAGGCTACATTTGGCTAGGTTATGTGGCCCGCATGCCCAGTCACCGCATGCCCAAGAAGCTTCTGTTTAGCCAAAAAGAGGGCACTAAATGGGCACGGCATGGGCTGGAGAAGAGATGGGTTGTGGTAGAGGAGGATGTGGAGCTCAGTGGACTTGCCGATGACCGGTTCCAGCCGTGTCAAGATCAACCTTTGTGTAGGGGGCTCGTGAAGGATGCTCTGGGCAGTTGGAGGCATTTGCCTTCCAGCAATGGAGGGCAAAGAAGCAACGCTCACAACAAAGAGCGGAGTGCCGGGTGAATAAAACGCAGAAAGTTGGCACAGTAGGAAGCACAGGTGGTGCATTTGGTAGTTGTCTCAGTCAGTCAACCGATGACACCTAGGTCTGTCCCAGGAACTCCTGACTGCAGTGAGTCTTTGATACTTCACGTAACCTCAAAGTGCTCCAAGCCTAGCACAAGCACCGTGGTGACAACACCACCACTTAAAGGTGAATGGAAAGCCGCTGTTGTTGTTGCGTGTGCCATCGCCGTAGCTTGGTCACCTGAGTGGTGAGCGCACTGCCCTACAAAACAAAACTGACCACAAATTCCCGGCCACGGCTAACATGACGTGGAGATCATCTGAACCAGTTTTTGGCTTCCCTTTGGTCGACTCAGCCATAATTGTGTACCTGATGCAGTGTGTTAACATAAGCACAGGGGTGACATAGGGCATTGACCAATTTTCACAAGTGCTCGCTAACGGCACTTGCCCCAACAGTCTGTTCAAGGCTATATGGGGGATCTTTGTGTGTGTGCCCTCCCGCACACACGCCCCACGTCCTTGAGTGGCTGTAATTGCTATTTAACAAGATCGTAATTTCCAGCGCGGATACCACGACGACAATCACATGCGGACACGCAAATTTCTGGCTCGTGCCTGCACACGAAAACAAAGACGAAAGATCCCCCGTGTAGCCTCATAGAGCTTGTTGGGTCAAGTGCTGTTAGCGAGCACCCACGAAGGCGAGCATCGGCAAGCGAATGGGTGGTGTAGTCAGCACTACGCCTGGCCGCCTTTGTCTCCCCAGCTCTTATGTTTGCACACCGGACAGGGTACACGTTTGAAGGCTGAGTCGATCTCAGGGAGGTCCGGACCAAATATTGGCCGTGAGCGGGAATTGAACTCGGGCCGGCGGGGGTTCGTGGAGCAAAGCGCTAACCACTGCGCTACCGCTCTTTGTCACATGCACGCGAATCTTCGTGGCTAAGGATGCGCCGTGCGGAGATTTTCTATCGGAGCGTCACAGAGGCGACCCGACACTTTAATTGGCTCTAAAGCGAGGCCGCGGTTCGCATGCCCGCACTCCCGCATACTCGCTCATGCACACACACAAAGATCCCCCATATAGCCTTAACAGACTGTAGGGGCAAGTGCTGTTAGCGAGCACCTATGAAGGCCGGAACGGTACACGAGGGGGTGGGTGGCCAGCACCACGCCCGACCGCCTTTGTCTCCCTAGTGGCGATGTTTACTACACCAGGTACTCATTTGAGGCTGAGTCTACCTAGAGGAGGCCTGGGACCGGTTCAGATAATCGTCACTGGTGTTGGCCGTGAGCGGGAATCGAACCCGGGTCGCCAGGTTCATAGCACAGCGTGCTAACCGCTATACTATCGCTCACCCACATGCACACACACAGACACACACACACACTTGCACACTCGCACGCACGCAAATCGCACATAAATGTTTAAAAGGGTCTGGCATGCGCGCCGTCAAACCACCGCCAGGCGAGTTGACGGTCGTATTCGATTTTTCAACATTTCTTCTTGAAAATTCTTAAAATTCCACATGCACATGCCCCACGACAGGAGGCGAACCATTCCGTACGACAATCACCGTTGGCTTCCCCCACAAAGTGTCACTCGTTTATTCTTCCCCGTCGAGTTGATGATGGGCTGAGTCAACCGCCAAACCCGAACCAGGATTTGAACTCGCGACCTCCTCCCGATTGCGAGCCGCTCCACAGCGGTGACCGGCCCAGCGGCGGCACGTTCGCCGCTTTGTCGCAGACCTTCACGGTTCGAACCCAGCGGTCGCCCCGATTAATACTGCCGGTGTAACAAGCTGGAATAATACTACGCGCCATTTGCTTCACAGTCCCCGGGTGCGAAAACACACACGGAGCTTGGTGCGACGGTGGCAATTCATACAATTCCCAATCTCTCAAGAGTAGGCCATTGACATCACTCTCAAGAGGAGGCCATTGTATGCCAGCGTCCAAACGTGTCATATTTAAAATGTACCAGCAAATTACTTTATTGAAATGACACACACACGGCAGCATTCAGCGCCCCCTACTGGCAGACTAATGCCCCAGGTCACTCTTGCGAATGAGACTCATCCTGGCTCGCAGCGCGGCGAGCGCTGCAGTGCGGTGTACTGCGGTGTGCCGTGCGGTAGCCGCGTGCCACGCTCCCGTCCCACCTGTAGGGCCAGGTGGTCAGGCCCAAATCCCAGCTCCTCCTGCTCCTTGCGCATCTTGAACTTGCGGAAGTAGTCCTGGATGAGGTACGTGGCGTAGAACTTCCCCACCGTGATCTCGTCCTCTGCCAGGCCACGCGCCAGGGTCGCCGTGGCAATGGGAAGAGGTTAACCATGCCCAGAGACGAACAGCGATTAACTTTTTTTTTACATATATTATGATAACGATCATTTGCAGCCCGTTAGTCAAACGAGCGGGCGGCCTGCAATTGGAAGGTTACGAGTTGACTCGGCCCATCATTCCCTCTGCGGGTCAATAAAATGAGCACAACTTTGCAAGGGAAGTCAACAGGAGGCTGTCTCGACTGGATGGACTGCAACTGCCGCGCAAAGCAGATGGAGCCGGCGAGCTCCGTGCGCTGGCCACCCTGACACCACGGTGGCAGCGTCCCGACATGGCCGGACCCTTTGAGGGGGGGGGGGGGAGGGGAATCAAAAGGAGTTCCTGGTTGATCGATTTTTGAGTGCCGCAGTTTTCTCTCCTCGCTCGGCACACGCCGGGGTGGCTCGCCTGTAGGGCGACCGACTCGCAAGATCGGAGCGTTCGAGTTCAAACCCTGGCTGGGGTGTTTTGGGTTGACCTAGCCCCCATCATCCCTCCCGGCGTCGAACCAGTACCACTTTGCGGCATAGAGTCAACAGCGATTGTCCCACGGATATACTCAACAAACTGGGGCCACCGGATTCGTGGCACGGCACGCTAAACCGCTACACTACCACTCCACAAACTCACGCATACGCAAAGGTCGCCCATATAACCTTAACAGACTGTTGGGGCAAGTGCTGCTAGCGAGTACCACCTATGAAGGAAGGCACTGCACACAAGGGGGTGGGTGACCAGCACCACGCTCGGCCGCCTCGTACACACTCACACACAGACTAACTCAAAGTCGGCAGAGCAGAGGGGAGAGCATACAAACTCCACACAGAAAGGGTGCCCGAGTCAGGAGACGAACCCAGGCCCTTCTAGCTGTGAGGTGCGAGTGTTACCACTGCGTCGCCACCCCTGCCGGTTCCCCGATGAGAGTGACGGTTGCGATTCAATCGCTGGAGAGGGGGTTTGGTTTCGGAGATTTATAACAAAAATAAATTATTGGCGAAAAGGAGAGGGAGATGCTGCGTGGGTTGCCTGCGCCGGGCAGGACGGAGGGCGGTGGAATGAAAGGCAGTTATTAAACTACAAAATAAACCGTCTCATTTTTTTTTTTGGTAAATCAAATCACATGTGGGTCGACAGGCATCTTGAGAAAATTTACATACAAATGACAATATTTATATTCTATAATTAAAGTGGTTTAGCGCTGGGGTGACTCCTGCACCCACGAGGCACTCACGTGCTGGTGCGTGAGTGAGTGCGTGCGGCTTTCACGTGCGTGTGCGAGATTAAAGGCGGGCGGCTGCGACGACGGCCACCCACCCCTCGTGTGCTATGCTGACCGCATAGGTGCTCTCTAACAGCACTTTGCCCCAACAGTCTGTTAAGGCTATATGGGAGATCTTTGTCTTTCTGTCGGTCTACCCTCAACGCCGGGATCTGTCTCGTGATCTCCTGCCAGACAGCCTTCGACACTTGACGTGCCCTCAGAAAGTTCACCTCGTCCGGCACAAGCCCGGAGGCGACGTCACCCCGTCACTTAGTGGCGAATGGCGGCTGTCGTTGTTGTTAAGCATACCTCCTGGCGGCGGGATCACCTGGTCCAGAAGCTTCATGCTGGTGCGGTTCCAGATGCCCTTGATGATGGCTCGGAGCTCCTCGTTGTTCTGAATCTTGTTTCCACCTGCGGTGAGACACGGGGGAATCGGTCGCTGACGTTGCGCCCACCAGCCCCCCTCCTCCTCGTTTATGATGCTGGGCCCCCAAACCCCCCCACCCCTCTCCAATGCCCGGGTCTCCCAGGGCCGCACCGCGAGTCCGTGAGTGACGATGGCCGGACGGATGGACGGACGAAAGCCCGTTTGTTACCTTCGGTCCTAATCTTGAGCGCCGTGCGGACGAGGGCGAAGATCGTGGCGTTGAACATGACAGTGCCATCGCTGTTCAGCGGCATGTTCATGGTGACGAAGCGCTAGGGGCGCAGAGAGACACGGGAAGGGGAGAGAGACGGGGATGGGAGAGACATGGGGAGAGAGACACGGGAGGGGAGAGAGAGATGGTGAGAGGAGAGAGACACGCTTAAGAGGACATCCACCACATGAAGAGAGCAATGAGATCAGTGGCTGGCTGTGAGCGGGAACGTGAATTATCTCCAATGGACATGAGATTGGCCCAGGGGCCTCCTGCTCCACAGATCGTCGCATCACGAGACCGTGAGAGACGGCGACAGCTTCAGTGAGGCCTTCATCCAGCAGTGGACAGATGGCGATGATGATGATGATAACGACGGCAATGACCGTATAAGGGTGTCCCCTCACCTTGCATGCCACGCGGAGAGGACACAGCTTGCCGAAGCCCAGAGGTGGCTGGATCCTCCTGAGCAGCGCAAGCACGTCGGCGTGTTTGATGCGGCCCCTGGGCACGCAGGTGCATACAGACGTGGGGGGCGAAGGGGGGGGATGGTGGTTAGGGAGTTAGGGATCGCTGTGAACACGAGTACTGGAAAGTGATTCACAGATTTATAGTTTTTCGCCATTTTTGGTGAATGTAGACTTCACAATGAGGGGTGGTGTTTGTGTGTGGGGGAGGGGGCAGTGTCTAAATGAGGGTATATGTCCGTGGGTAGGGGGCAGCGTCCGTGTGTTGGTGGGGGGGGTGGTGGTAGTGTCTCATGGTGAGAGGCAGTGTCTGTCTATGTACGGCAGTGTCTACTAATGGGGGTTGTATCTATGTGTTGGGAGCAGTGTTTACGAGTGGGGCGCAGTCTTTATAAATGGGGGGTGGTGTCTCAACAAAAATACACTTTTTATTTCACTAAGTAAGGCCCACTGAGCTATATAGCTCTTTTTTAGAAGCGATTTTTAATGAAAGAATAATGGATAATACACTGTAACATGATAACAAAATATGTTAATAGTTTCAAAAAGTCAAAGAGTCTCCGCTTCATTGTCAACGCATGTCTGGAATCTTCTCCAGGTGGTCTCAAGAGCCCAGAGGCATATTTCTTGTGGTGTTGTTGCAAATTCTCCGAAGCACCCTGTATACAGCAGGCATCAGGGTTGGGATCGGGTTGGGATCGAACCCACGACCTCCTGCATACCTGGCGAGGTAGTTAACGTCTCGCCAGTGCGGCGCCCGTATCTCTGCGTGGGTGGGGGTGGGGTGGGGGCGGTTTCCTTGGGGGGGTCCTCACTTGGCATCGGGGTCGTACTCGGCCCAGATCCTCTTGAACTCGTCGAGGTGGTGAGGGCCCAGGATGGACCAATCCCGCGTCAGGTAGTCAAAGTTATCCATGATGACGGCCACGAAGAGGTTGATGATCTTAGGAGGAGGAGGAGATTGCGTGAGTCAACACTACAGTTGTACATCACAAACAATTTATGATGATGGCGGTGGTGGTGGTAATTATGGTGGTGGTAATCGGGTTGACGATGACGGAAGGTGTGAAGCTGGTGGTGATGAGGGTGATGCTGGTGGCGATGGCATAGGCGGCAGTGGTAGTGGTGGTCATGGGGGCGACGGTGGTGGTGATGTTGGTGATGGCATAGGCGGCAGTGGTGGTGACGGGGGTGATAGTGGCAGTGGTGGTAATGACGGCGGTGATGGTGGTGGTGGCGCTTTGGTATCGGCTGTCCATCATGTCAGCCGGTTTGCTGGTGCCCGTTTGTTGTCACTGCTGGCGCCGGTGGCTCGTCACCCCGGTGGCCGACGCAATCCACCGCCGGCATCTGGAGACGTGGAGCCGTCGCCGCGACTGCGCGCGGGTCACTCACCAGGAAGGCGCACAGCATGTAGAAGCTGATGAAGTAGAAGATGGCGAAGTTGCTGCCGCACGTGAACTCCTCGCCAGGGCTGTAGTCTGACTTCTCGTCGCAGCGCTTCCCCGGCATGCAGGCCAGCATGATCTCGTGCCAGCGCTCGCCCGTCGCACACCTGGGAGTGCGGGCACATGGGCGCACGTGGGAGACGTGGGCGTGCGTGGGCACACGTGCACATTTGGGCACATGGGCGCATGTGGACATTACGGGTGCATGGGCATACGGGTGTACGGATACATTAGTACACACCCACAGGTACACAGGTACATGATTGTATATACACATGGATACAGGTGCACGTGTATACATGGGTACACTGGCACACATTCACGCAAGAAGATAGGTACACAGGCACATGGGTACATGGGTATTTGGGTAGCTAGACCTACAGGTACACTGGTGTACATGTACTGTACACATTAAGAGAACGGCTGGGTATGACTGAGGGTGACTTGAGGTGCCTAAGGTTGAGTGAGGGTGAGTGATTGTGAGTCAGAGGTAGCTGTGGGTGAGTCGAGATGGGCATGAGCGAGTGTGAGTAGAGGTGGCTGGGGGTAACCGCCACCTGAACAGGACAAGCACGGCCTGTGGGAACGTCTGGAAGTTGTTGTTGCGGTTGATCTCCGCCCCGTCCTGCAGCGCGATCTTGCCAAACATCTGCATGACGCACAGCGGCACTCGGTGAAGTTCACACGCACATACGCGTGCATGCACACACCACACGCGCACACACCACACGCACGCAAAGACAAACATTTTTGGAAAGGAAGGGCGAGGGCAGGGTGTGGGAAGCGGAGTGGAGTTGGGTACGTGTGGTTGGGTAAGGTATTTGTGGTGGGTGGAATGATGGGACAGGGCAGAGTTTTTGGGCCCGGTATTGGTAGATGGCCTGGGTAAGGTATGGCGGGGTTTGTTGTGGTTTAATAAGGTTGGGTATGGGGCGGTGGAATGGGGTCGAGAAGCGTAAGTGCGGTAAGTGGGGTGGGTAGGTGAGGTGCCGTAGCATAGGTGGATCGGGTGGTCTAAAGTAGGCAAGGTAGCTGTTTAGGTAGGGTGTCTGGAGTTGGGGGCAGACCGGGTTGGATGGAGTATGTAGGGTCGATTGGCCGGTGGGTACTTGGGTAGGGTGCATGGTTCGGCGCTCGCCTGCATGCCGATGACGGCGTAGATGAAGAAGAGCATGACGATGAGCAGAGCCACGTACGGCAGGGCCTGCGGGGACGACAGAATTCACCTCGACTGTCACAACGACACCGACGACAACGCTGAGCAGCAACGACGACGGAGATTCAACCACCAACGACGACGGAGATTCAACCACCAACGACAACGGAGATTCAACCACCAACGACAACGGAGATTCAACCACCAACGACGATGGAGATTCAACCACCAACAACAACGGAGATTCAACCACCAATGACGACGGAGATTCAACCACCAATGACGACAGAGATTCAACCACCAACGACGACGGAGATTCAACCACCAACGACGACGGAGATTCAACCACAGTGACGGCCATTTAACAAAATCGCTGAGAGCCACTCACAATATCGCTGCCATCACGCCCATCGCTCGCGACCCCTGACCTGGAAGGACTTGATGAAGGTCCAGAGGAGGATGCGGAGGCCTTCTCCTCGTGCCAGAAGTTTGACGAGGCGCATGACGCGGAAGAGACGGAAGAACGTGATGGAGATCCGCGACGAGCCCTCTGACGTCTGCCGGGGTCGCAGATCGTGGGTCACGGTGGGGGTCATCGACACATTGGTGTGGGGTCAACAGATCACAGTTCAATTATTTGACATTAATTATCTGGTGATGATGACGATGCTGCTGCTGCTTTGCCAGTGGTTCACAAGCACAATTACCAAATAATAATTCAACACGATCTGTCAATAACACTGCATGGCATTTCGTGTAATGGTCCTTCTGCATAGCACATAAATAGGCTGGTGTGTGGCATGTGTGGTGTGTGGTATGTGTGTGGCTTGCGTGGACCGTGGCATGTGTGGTGTGCGTGGTGTGTGGCGTGCGTGGGGTACATGGTGTGTGGCACGTGGCATGAGTGGTGTGTGCCAAGTGTGGTGCGTAGCGTGCATGGTGCGTGGCACATGTGGTGTGTGGCATGCGTGGTGTGTGACACGTGTGGTGAGTGGAGCGCGATCGCTCACATCGAGTTTACTGAGCAGGACGTCGACGATGCTGCCGACGACGATCAGGAAGTCAAACACGTTCCAGGGGTCGGTGAAGTAGCCCTGGGTCGCAGCACGAGACAACGACGATGAGATAACGGGGAGACGACCCACCAATGCATACACGCCAAGGGAGTGATACTCAGGGCTTCAATTTCCTGTCCACCTGTTGTATATATAGGCCTTTTTCCATTTTTTTATATTAATAATGATTTTGCCAAAAAAAATTCATATAATCACTCGCGGGGTCGCTGGAAGCACAAACAAACGGAACCCCCCCCCCTTTTCGAGCAGCTGTCTTGTCACTCTCGCAAATATAATGACACCCTCCCCTCCCACCAACGGAAAGGGTCAGTCATAAAGTCAAATAAAAACAACACACGCCCCCCCCCGCCCCGGACGAAAAATAACCAACAGGGTTATTCCTAAGCCAAAACGAATTCTCTAACCTCGGGATATCAGATCATAACAATACCTCGAGAACAAACAGCACAAACCCAGGATACAGGCGGTGGAACGAAAATTAATAAACCCTAAGAAATACATGGTGATGATAATGTTAAATCACAAATCTTGGGAAACATAAACCAAATAATAATTATGCAGTATTAAACCGAGGGTTATCCAGAAGAGATGAGGCGAAATAGGTCAAACTCACACAACCAAGATAAACTGTATCCCATAGGAAAAGAGCCTCCCAACCGTCTTTGTCTTCCCACAGCACGGGATAGCAAAGAATGTAACGCCAAGAGCGAGGGAAATGACTCCCACAGAGAGCTTTTATTGCAGGTGGGGCATCTGTGTTCCACGGATGATAAGATGGCTTGAGGAGGGCGACAGTAATCAAGCCAGGGAGAGACACAGATGGCATAATAAATATGACACACACGGACACACGTACACACGGACACACATACAACCCCCCCCCCCCCATAACACAGAGTGAGATCAAAGGAAGTTCCGGTCCTTCGTGAGAAGGCGAGCAGAGGAAGAAATCTTGGCATAAAAAGAGAAACACGGGCCACACATTGCATCGCAGCTGCCAGCGGCAGAAGACGGCGACCAACTATCGAAGATGCTCAACCCCCGAAGATAACAGCCGGCCACCGGGGGCGACCAACCACCGAAGAGCTCGAGTCGAACTGGCGAACAGCGTCAAGCCATCGACTTCGAGAAAGGGCGGAAAGCGCCACGCATCGACCAAGCCAGCATCGCGGGGAACCAGCTGCACGCGCAATCGACACCGCCAGAGAGACGGAGCAGGAGCGAGCACGCCGCAGCGCCACCAGCGCCACCGAGCAAGGGTGTCAGCTGCCAGCGGACGAGCTGTGGGTGCTGCCTGACGACGGGATCATCGCGCACCAACGGCGAGCATAGTGCAAACTCTTCCAACCGGCTGTGGACCGAACTCCGGCCGCCCGTGTGAAAGAAGGAGAACCCAGATATCCGTACGATACGCACACTGCCACGCATTACAACGCATCACCCGGCGTCTGCTTGACGCAAAGAATTGATCAAGAACACATCCCCACTCAAGCCATACCATCCCCACTCGACACATACACGAATCATTAATAAGAAGACTCATGATAAGTGCGTCAAGTATCAACTGATAACGAAGAACACGGCTGCCATTGGGTTACGGGGAAACGGTCGTTTAGAAGTATTTTGGTAGTTATGTTTCTTTTTGATTTGCATAAATATTATTAGCGAATTCATCGATGAAAACTAAACGTTTAAAAACCTAAGTTACGAATGTACACACTCACAGGGAGAATATTGTGTTGAAATCTTTCTTTTGATCACATAATCTGCCCGTGAATTTATTGAAACCTCAGCCAATTAATGAGTATTTGCTGAAGCAGGCATACTGCTGCACACCACGGTTTCAACATTTCGTTAAATTACGTAATCTTGCCCATGAATTCATTGCCGTATGCGTTTTTGCCTTCGGGAAATGTTTCTTTATTGCCTCATATGAATGTCGTCGCGTGAATTTTTAAGGGCCTTTTATTCCTATTGCCGTATATGCTCATGTTACTCTGATTAAGTAAATCGTTTGTTCTGTTACCCAATTAACAAACGTGATCATTGAGGGTTAAATGTATGAATCCATGAAGCCTTAGCCAATTGATGAGTATTTGCTGAAGCAGGCAAACTGCCACACACCCTTGTTCCAAGACATTTCGCAATTGCGTAATCTTGCTCATGAATTAATTACCGTATACTTTGCCTTCAGGGACATGTTTCTTTATTGCCTTCATATGAATATCGTTGCATGAACTTTTAAGGACTTTTGGTTCCTATCGCCGTATATGCTCGTGTTACTCTGAGGAAGTAATCGATTGTTCTGTTACCCAGTTAACAAACGTGATCATTGAGGGTTAAATGTATGGATCATTGAGGGGAACATCTCCAGGAGTACTGTGTTGACAATTTCAAGTATATGAATTCGCATATTAGAGTGTTAAGGTTTTGTTTAGAACTTAAAATTGCTTTGACACAGAAGTGTTTGAGTGTTTCTTTCCGGAGTTCATGCGTAATAATCTTAATTATAAAAACTGTATCCTGCGGTGAGATTTGAATTTGGAGACCTGACATAAACACACTAAGACATAATCAGTAAATGTTAAAGCGAGAACAATTGTATTATCCCGATCAATAATACGAACCTAGACAACGAAGCCAAGCATAATCTAGCATACTTACATCACACCTGCATAACTGCATACAATTAATTGTATGATCCCGATTGATAATACAACCCTCGACAGCGAGGCAGGGCCTAATTATCATAACTGACCACATTAACATAATCGCATACATTCACATAAAGTAAAACGAGTATCTCTTTAATTAGCATAATTAATGTGAATAATTACAGCAATTGACATAATTTCGGACAATTACACATTTTTCCAATTTAATTAAATTTTTATTATTTTCATCAAAATTTTCATACCCGGCATATACAACACACCACAACTTGCATCACCCGGCAAACCCTGGTGGCCACCCATCTAAGTATGACCTAGGCTCATGGCTGCTTAGCTTCTGAGCTCTGACGAGATCGGGAGAATTCAGCGTGATTTGTTCACAGATGTCAAATGACGGTGAGTGATATTGTGCGAATCACGGTTGCTGAGCACAGGCCCAAAAAAAAACAATATGCCAAGCAGCCGGCAATAAACAACACTACTGAAGGATGAGTAGATAATAGTTCACAAATTTCTTGAATTGAGCAAGGTTAAGATATCGAGATGAGGGGAGGGGATTCCAATGTGGAACGGTGCGAGGGACGAAGCAGAAAAAGAAGCGTTGTGACCTGCAGTGTGGTGAGTGAGTATGGTGAGTGAGTGGGTGAGTGAGTGGATGCGAGAAGCGGTAGTTCAACGGTTAACACGCTGCACTACGAATCCGGCGAACCGGGTTCGATTCCGCTCATGGCCAACACCAGTGGCGATTATCTGAAGCGTCCTGGGCCTCCCCCAGGTTGAATTTGCCTGAAATTAGTACCTGGTGCGGTGTGTAAAAACATCACCACTGGGCAGACAAAGGCGGTCGGGCGTGGTCTGGCCACCCACCCCCACGTGCGCTGCGACGGCCTTCATAGCTGATACTCGCTAACGGCACTTGCCCCAACAGTTTGATAAGCCTACACAGGGGACCTTTGCCTTTGAGTGCGCGAGCGAGCGTGCTGTTGTGACCTGCAGCGTGGTGGTGGAACAGTGTGTGGATGGGACAAAACAGTCGGTCCGGCAGCGCGAGTCCTCGCGCAAATGTAGAGTAAGGTTCGCGCCCTCACCCGGGGCTTGTAGGCGATGATCTTGACAATCATCTCTCCGGTGAAGAGGAACGTGAAGATGAGATTGAGGACGTCCATCACGTGGCTGAACTCCTCCGACTGGCCGTAGTGCTGCGGGGAGGGTCGGGTGCAATGGTTAGCGATCCGGAGGTTCACCGGTCTGCTCTCCTGTCGGGGGCAAGTTTCTTCAATCACCCCCCCCCCCTTGGCCTCTGTACACCCAGCGTAAGTTAGTTGATCGGCAAGTCATCTGTGGTGGGGTAAACTGTGGGTTACTTCCGAACGCTCTGGCCAGCGCCAACATTTCAGGCCGAATACCCTCCACTCGAGTCCACAGCTCCCTCTCGTGGAGGCGCTTCTGCTGGCAGTGGCGCGAGCGAGACATTGCAAGGCTGTGCCTTTACCTTTTATAAATATGTCCTCTCTACTGTATGCCCCGCTTCCCCGTGAGTACCTGCACCCCCCCCCCCCCACCCCCAGGCGTACCTACACCGCCCACCCCCACGCGTACTTACACCCCCCACACCCACGCGTACCTACATCCCCCACCCCCACGTGTACCTACACCCCCCACGCGTACCTACACCCCCCACCCCCACGCGTACCTACACCCCCCATCCCCACGCGTACCTACACGCACCTCCCCCGCATCCGTGTGTACCCGGAGCCCCGTGCACAGTACCTGCATGCCGAGGCAGAGCGAGTTGGCGACGATGAGGGCGAACATGGAGTACTCGAAGGCCGGGTGGTTGGCCACGTACCACACGTTGTAGCGGTACGGGTTGCGCGGGATGAAGCGGCGCAGCGGGCGCGCATTGATCGCGTACTCGACGCACTGCCTCTGTACACGGGGTCACGCGGGGACACAGAGGGGCCACAGAGGGGACACAGAGGGGACACAGAGGGGACATAGAGGGGACACGGAAGAGACACAGAGGGGACATAGAGGGGACATAGAGGGGACACAGAGGGGACATAGAGGGGACATAGAGGGGACACAGAGGGGACACAGAGGGGACACAGAGGGGACACAGAGGGGACATAGAGGGGACATAGAGGGGACACAGAAGGGACACAGAGGGGACACAGAGGGGACATAGAGGGGACATAGAGGGGACACAGAGGGGACATAGAGGGGACACAGAGGGGACACAGAGGGGACATAGAGGGGACACAGAGGGGACAGAGGGGACACAGAGGGGACATAGAGGGGACACGGAAGGGCCACAGAGGGGACATAGAGGGGACACGGATGGGGCACGGAGCGGTCATGGAGGAGACACGGAGGAGACACAGAGGGGACTCACGGATGGCAGACGCAGGGCACACGTGGGAGACAACAATCAGTGTTAATTAGCTTAGTCTCCCTCTCTCCAGCCTCCAGTCTCCGTGTCACTGTCTCCAGTCTACTGTCTCCACCATCTCCGTCTCTCAATCTCCCCCTCCTTCATTGTCCCCAGTCTCCCCGTTCGTCTGCAGTCTCGCCGGGCCACCGGCCCACGTGAAGCAAAGTGAACACGTCTCGAATGCAGAGGGGGGGGGGGGGAGACACCTGGTTCTTGTCGAGCTCACAGTTGCGGTACTCCTTCTCGCCCTGGTCCTGGAAGGTGACGATGACGAAGCCCACGAAGATGTTCATCATGAAGAAGGCGATGATGATGATGTAGATAATGAAGAAGACAGACATCTCCACTCGGTTGTTGTAGATGGGACCGATGTCCTCCTTGCTCGAGTCGATGGCTCGGTACAAGAACCTTCGAGCGATCGGGGCAGGAGAGGGGAGTGGGGGTGCCGGTCAGTAGAGAGGTGGGGAACGGCAGGCCGTGGGGTGACACCACCAATAGCAGCAGATCTTGGTCCTGGTTTCACCAGGGATAAAACTGGCATTTGTTGGGGGCTTCAATGCCCCGACATCTCACAACCCCTCGGCTCTCACATCTCATCTCAATAATTTCAATGCCCAGCCGTAGTTTTCTTGTTCACCCCTAATTGGCGGAACCCCCGTTTTCTCATCCCCTTCTGTCCCTGTCTCCCTGTTACTGCCTCCCTGTCTCCCTGTCTCCCCACCCCCCTCTCTCCCCCATTTCCCTTTCTCCCTGTCTCCCCGTCTCCCCATCTCTCTATCCCTCTCTCTCCCCATCTCCCCATCTTCCTCTCTCTCCCCATCTCCCTGTCACCCTCTCTCTCCCCATCTCTCTATCCCTCTCTCTCCCCATCTCCCTATCCCTCTCTCTCCCCATCTCCCTATCCCTCTCTCTCCCCATCTCTCTATCCCTCTCTCTCCCCATCTCCCCGTCTTCCTCTCTCTCCCCATCTCCCTCTCTCTCCCCATCTCCCCGTCTTCCTCTCTCTCCCCATCTCCCTATCCCTCTCTCTCCCCATCTCCCCGTCTCCCTCTCTCTCCCCATCTCCCTATCCCTCTCTCTCCCCATCTCTCTATCCCTCTCTCTCCCCATCTCCCCGTCTCCCTCGCTCTCCCCATCTCCCTATCCCTCTCTCTCCCCATCTCCCTATCCCTCTCTCTCCCCATCTCCCCGTCTCCCTCTCTCTCCCCATCTCCCCGTCTCCCTCTGTCTCCCCATCTCCCTATCCCTCTCTCTCCCCATCTCTCTATCCCTCTCTCTCCCCATCTCCCCGTCTCCCTCTCTCTCCCCATCTCCCTATCCCTCTCTCTCCCCATCTCTCTATCCCTCTCTCTCCCCATCTCCCCATCTCCCTCTCTCTCCCCATCTCCCTATCCCTCTCTCTCCCCATCTCTCTATCCCTCTCTCTCCCCATCTCCCCGTCTCCCTCTCTCTCCCCATCTCCCTATCCCTCTCTCTCCCCATCTCCCTATCCCTCTCTCTCCCCATCTCCCCATCTCCCTCTCTCTCCCCATCTCCCCGTCTCCCTCTCTCTCCCCATCTCCCTATCCCTCTCTCTCCCCATCTCTCTATCCCTCTCTCTCCCCATCTCCCCGTCTCCCTCTCTCTCCCCATCTCCCTATCCCTCTCTCTCCCCATCTCTCTATCCCTCTCTCTCCCCATCTCCCCGTCTCCCTCTCTCTCCCCATCTCCCTATCCTTCTCTCTCCCCATCTCCCTATCCCTCTCTCTCCCCATCTCCACGTCTCCCTCTCTCTCCCCATCTCCCCGTCTCCCTCTCTCTCCCCATCTCCCTATCCCTCTCTCTCCCCATCTCTCTATCCCTCTCTCTCCCCATCTCCCCGTCTCCCTCTCTCTCCCTATCTCCCTATCCCTCTCTCTCCCCATCTCTCTATCCCTCTCTCTCCCCATCTCCCCGTCTCCCTCTCTCTCCCCATCTCCCTATCCTTCTCTCTCCCCATCTCCCTATCCCTCTCTCTCCCCATCTCCCCGTCTCCCTCTCTCTCCCCATCTCCCCGTCTCCCTCTCTCTCCCCATCTCCCTATCCCTCTCTCTCCCCATCTCTCTATCCCTCTCTCTCCCCATCTCCCCGTCTTCCTCTCTCTCCCCATCTCCCCGTCTCCCTCTCTCTCCCCATCTCCCTGTACCACCACCACCCCCCCCGCCCCCCGTGGTGTAGCCGCGACGTGGACGCACTGCGGCCAGCCCTCGAAGGTGGACACGGTGAAGAGGGTCATCATGCCGGCCATCACGTTGTCGAAGTTGAAGTCGTTCTTGTACCAGATGCGCTCGCGCACCTCCGGGTAGTCCAGGTTTCCCTCCTTGTACCAGATGAACAGACCCCTGTCGCGCGCACGGCAAGACAATGAGGGGCGACGGCGAGTGTTGATGAGGCGGGAGCGATGACGGTGATGGTGAAGGAGAAGAGGTGGGGAGTTGTTTAATATCTCACTTGCACTCTGCCTCCGTGTTCTTGGATTCATCCGTGCACGCGAAAAATCTCCCCTGTGCAGACGGACACAACGTCGACCACGTCAACAACATCGACAACGACAAAAACAACGTCAAGAAACATCGTCAACAACGACGACAAAGATGACGCCAAACATCAACATGAACAGACACCCTTAAAAACAACGTTGTCAGCTGCAACTGTGATGTCGATGGCATCAACAATTTCATCGACCACACAAACAACAACAACAGCAGTATCGCCTTGATGATGTCTCGCCAGATGTTTAACATCTATCTAGACGGTAACGCTGACATCATCATCAATATAAACACCATCACCAACATCACCACCAATCTCCAACTCTCGCGTTCAAGGCACTGGATCACAGGGGTACGACGATGGCTATGAGGAAGATAATGACGACGACGATGATGATGATGATGGTGGAGGTAGTGACGATAATGATGATAATGACGATAATGATGATGATGATGATCGTGGAGGTAGTCACGATAATGATGATGATAATGACGATAATGATGATGATTTTGGAGGTAGTGACGATAACGATTATGACACAATGATGATGATGGTGGTGGTGATGACAACGATCATGAGGATGAAGACAACAATGACAGCGATTACGACAATGATGATGACGATGATGACAATGACAGTGATTATGATGACAATCCTCTTTGGTTCTTTCGGCAAAGTCACGTAGAATGAGAATAAAATAATAAATTGATAAAATAAAATAACACAATAAAATTCTCACGACGTTTCGGCCACAACACAAGCGGCCTTCATCAGGTGAAGGGACGAGACTGTCTGGAGGACAGCGCTGTGTTGTGGCCGAAACGTCGTGAGAATTTTATTGTGTTATTTTATTCTATCAATTTATTATTTTATTCTCATTCTACGTGACTTTACCGAAAGAACCAAAGAAGATGAATCCTTGCAGTCACGAAAGCTTTAAATCGAAATATGATGACAATGTTAATGATAACAATGACCGTGATAACGATGACAATGATTACAATGATTTCAATGACCGTGACGACGATGACAATGATTACAATGATGACAATGGCAGCGACGACGATGACAGTGATAACAGCGATGACGACGACTAAGGTTCCCACCTTGAAGAGCTGCACGCCGATGCAAGCGAAGATGAACTGCAGGAGGGTGGTGACGATCACGATGTTGCCGATGGTGCGGATCGCCACAAACACGCACTGCACCACGTGCTACTCGCCGCACCGAGACAAAGACCCGCGTGTCGCCATTAAACAGACTGTTGGGGCAAGTGCTGTTCGCGAGAAGCACTCTATGATGGTCGGCACGGCGCACCGATGACGCGGTGGTGTGGCCAACACCACGCCCGTCCGCCTTTGTCTCTCCCCAGTGCTGATGTTTACACACTGCACCAGGTACTCGTTTTAAGGCTGAGTCGACCTAGGGGAGGCCCAGGATTTATTCTCAGATATTTCACCACCGACGTTGGTGGCCGTGAGCGGGAATGGAACTCGGGGCAGCGCGCTAAACCACTGCACCACCACTCCCCAGAGGACATACACAGGCACATATATAGCAGATGTAGCTGTGTTGTTGTAGTAGCTGTGGCTGTAGTTGTAGCTGTGGTTGTAGCTGTGGTTATAGTTGTGGTTGTAGTTGTAACTGTGGTTGTAGCTGTAAATGTGGTTGTAGCTGTGGTTGTAGTTGTAGCTGTGGTTCTAGTTGTAGCTGTAGTTATAGCTGTAGTTGTAGTTCTAGCTGTGGTTGTGACTGTAGTTGTGGTTCTAGTTGTAGCTGTAGTAATAGCTGTAACTGTGGTTGTAGCTGTAGTTGTGGTTCTAGTTGTAGTTGTAGCTGTGGTTGTAGTTGTAGCTGTAGTTGTAGCTGTGGTTGTAGCTATAACTGTGGTTGCAGCTGTGGTTGTAGTTGTAGCTGTAGCTGTGGTTGTAGCTATAGCTGTGGTTGTGGTTGCAGCTGTGGTTGTAGCTGTAGTTGTAGCTGTGGTTGTAGCTATAACTGTGGTTGTAGCTGTGGTTGTAGCTATAGCTGTGGTTGTAGTTGTGGTTGCAGCTGTGGTTGTAGTTGTAGCTGTGGTTGTAGCTATAACTGTGGTTGTAGCTGTGTTTGTAGCTATAGCTGTGGTTGTTGTTGTGGTTGCAGCTGTGGTTGTAGTTGTAGCTGTAGTTGTAGCTGTGGTAGCTGTGGTTGTAGTTGTAGCTGTGGTTGTAGCTGTGGTTGTAGTTGTAGCTGTGGTTGTAGCTGTGGTTGTAGTTGTAGCTGTGGTTGTAGCTGTGGTTGTAGTTGTAGCTGTAGTTGTAGCTGTGGTTGTAGCTGTGGTTGTAGTTGTAGCTGTTGTTGTAGCAGATGTGTGGGACAGCTGTTGCACCTTGAGACCCTTTGCTCTGTTGATGGCTCGAAGAGGTCTGAGCACCCTCAACACACGCAGGATCTTCACCACGGAGATAGCGCTGGACCTGAACACATCGTCACCATCATCGTACCATCGCCACCAGCCTCACCAAACATAATCACCGTCATCGCCATCAGCACACCATTGCCGTTGGCTTCATCGTCATCATCGTCGTCATCCTATTTACTATCCTCATCATAATGAAATAATTAAGCATCCTCACCATTATCACCGACAGAACCATGCTCATCAACATCACTTTCATCATCTACATCACCATCATCACCAATTGGAGTGTAACCCCAAATCACCATCACTGTCACCGTCATTATGAGCACAATCATCCGTTTCCACTCCACTCCCACTGCCAATTCAGGGAAGGATTAGGATTCGAGGACCGTGTATCAAGAACCAAAGACCATGTCCCAGAGACCAGGAACCATTGGACCAGGAACCGAAGACCAAGGATAGGAACCATGGACCAAAGACCTGGGACTATTGACCAAACATCCGAGACTAGCGCCCAAAGATCAGGTTTCAGAGACCAGGGAGCAGAGTCTAAGAACCAAGGTCCAGGGACCAGGGGCTATGGGGTCAGGAACCAAAGACCAGGAACCAGAGACCAGGGAGCATGAGATCAGGATCCAATGACCAAGGCTAGGCACCATGGCCAAAGACCTTGGAGGAGGGACCAGACTCCTGAGACCAGGGCCCAAGGCCCATGGGACCAACGACCAGGGCCCGTGGACCATCAACCATGGAAGAGGTACAAGAGACCAGCGACGAGGTATCAAAGGGTCATGGTGCAGCGATGAAGAGTCATAAAAGAGGGACCAAAAAACCCGAGAGCAGGGTGCAGGGACAACGAAGCTGGGAACCCAGAAGCAGGGACCGGAAGGGCGCTCACTGGATGCCAAAGGAGACGAGAGACACGGTCACGACGAAGCAGTCGAGGATGTTGAAGTAGTTGCGCAGGAAGGAGCCCGTGTGCATGAACGCTCCGTACGCCGTCATCTGAGCAGGGCAGCCGTGCGGCGGGGTCAGGGGTCAGGGCAGGATCAGAGGTCACGCAACATTATGTTAGTTGCACGTGATTAGACAGCTCCTTCTCTGACCTGTTGATTCCTTAATAGTTGTGTTATTTAAATGAATACCTGTTTATTTTACATGTGGGAAGGACTTAGAGCTGCGCCACGTGTTGGCTGTCGAGGGGGGGAGGATCTCACATGGTTAACAAGACGTGCATCTGGCTGACGCTAGGCCTGAGGGTCTCGGACGTGAGAGGGGTTATTCAGGAGCGAGGTGTTTCGTGTGGTCCAGGGAAGGCAACAGCTGATACGGGGGAAATTGTCTCACAACGCGTTTACAACGATGCCCCTTCACCTTGAGGACGATCTCCGTGGTGAAGACGGCCGTGAAGCCGATGTCAAAAAAGGAGAGGATCTGAGCGGAAAAGAAATGAGCAAGAGAAGAAACGCAGAATGAGATAAGTTGAAGCAAAATAAGGAAATCTAATTCATTTGGCAGAATGTCAAACAGGCTGATAACATAAGATCAGTAGAAATGTGAAATGGCATTGACTGAAAACTTCAAATCCAGATTGAATAACAAACTCAAGGAAATTAAACGAACAGAAGATAATTTAACGTGCGCAGTCTTTCGCGACCAATTCACAATATACATTTTTGTGTCAGACTGCCGTGTGAGTAAAATGTTGTGTCGTACACCCCTCCTCCACCCAACACAGTCCGATAAATAATAAAAGCTGTCAGGCGAACAAACGTGGAGAATCTTTTTTCCACTTGGCGACGACCTGTGGAAGCCTTCATCCAGCAGTGGATAGATCCCAGTTGATGACGATGAAGAGCAACAGTCATCAGAACCGAGGCATGAAATCAAAAAAATGATTGTGAACTCTTACTCAGCAAAACAAATGTAGAAGAGAATGGCGATGATTATAATGCTATGTAGGGTATTGTGGGATGAGAGGCCTATGTGGGGTAAAAGGCCTTTGTTGTCCTGGTGCTGACAGAAGTGGTCTCATCAGCCATGGCCAGGTTAGGGTGCAGTGGTGCCCTCCTCTAGAGGTTTCTGCTGCTGGTGGTGGTGGTGGTGCCAGGAGCACAACAAACCACGCGGGGTGAGCACCAGGACACAAATGGCTTGTACCCCACGTAGGCCTCTTACCCCCTACTATACTTGATGATGCTTTCCCTGGTGATGATAATTATGATGATGATATTAAAGTCTAATTAGGCAAGGCACAGGAACTCTGAATAACATAATAAGTCCGCAATGAGCTTCACGATAGACAAACCCATCAGCTAAGCGAGCCATCTCTTCACTTTGTAAAGATTCAAAGCAACAACATTCACTTGATGCTGAAACTGCTAGGACGTCACATGTCCAACAAGATCCTCTCGATGAGGAGGAGGAAATCGATGATCGGAGGAGGATGATTATGAGGAAGAGTGAGGATGGCCTCACCTCGTTTCGGAAGGAGTAAGGGTCGATGGGGTCCTCGGCGGCAAGGGAGATGCTGCTGAGCAGGATGAAGACGAGGATGAGGTTCGTGAATGAGGTGTGGTTGACGATGCGGTGGCACATGATGCGGAACCTGCACACGCACACAAAGACAAAGATCCCCCCCCATAGACTTAACAGACAGTTGGGGAAAGTGCTGTTAGCGAGCAACTATGAAGGCCGACACGGCACACAAGGGGGTGAGTGGCCAACACCATGCCTGGCCGCCTTTGTCTTCCCAGTGGTGATGTTTACACACCACACCAGGTGCTCATTGGAGACTGAGGCGACCTACGGCAGGCCCAGGACCTAGTTCAGATAATCACCGCTGGTGTTGGCGATAAACAAAAATCAAACTCGGGTCGCTGGTTTTATAGTGCAGCGCGCTAACCGCTGCACTACTGCCCATACACAACAATAATAACAACTGCCGTGTGCATCTAAGTGGCGGTGACGTTATCACGCTGGTTGTGCCAGGATAGGTGCTGGAGGCTCACACACACACATGGGTGTGTGATGGTGTCTCACTGCAACGGTACTGCCTATATATCGAACACTAACCATAACACGTACCCCACACTAACCGTCACTCTAACTACAGCCCTCGCAAACATAACACGAACACTATCCATTACTAACTCCTCACTCCAAACACTAACCCCCAACCCCGAACAATAAACCTTAACCCTAACACTATTACTAACCACTAACACTAACTTAACCCCTAACCCTGGACCTCTAACCCCAACTCCACCCCTAACTCTTAACCGTTAACCCGAATTCCACCCCTGTCCCTAACTCCACCCTAAACCCCCCACCACCCCCACTCCCTCCCCCCCCCCCACTTGTTCTTGGTGCCGAAGATGAAGAAGGAGGAGGCCTCAGGCATGGGCACGAGCTTCTCCTTGATGGCGAGCTCCTCCGTGATGCGCGGACGCGGACCCAGCGGCAGCTCGGGGTCGCACTCCTCGTCGTCGCCTGACGAGGTGAGCGGGGTTGGGAGTCACGCGCAGGAGAGGGGGTCATGGGGGAGGGGTCTCGTTGGGGGAAGGCGAATGCGCCTGGTCTCAATGCTGGTTAGGTACAAGGTGTAACGATTCATGTCCATTTTAAAGAATCGATGTCTTTATAATCCTGCAATTTGTATGCAAATGAACAAATCACCCGGAATATTGTTGATGATATCAACTAAACAACGCTGTTGAGGAAGGCAAGGAGAAGCCTTCTGTTATGGGATAGAGTGTTCCCCCCTCGTACGTGTGGGTTTTCTCCGGATGCTCCAGTTTCCTCCCACATGTGTAAACAGTTATTAATTGGCTGAAAACATCTCAATGAATTGAGGACTGCAGAGCTTGGGCAATATTCTTGGTAGCGCCGGCCCCTCGCCGCCTGGCAGCCGCTGCTGCCTTCGAAGCTCGTGTCTGCGGTTCCTCGGCGGTTGTTAGAGATGCGATTTTGCATGGACGACGATGACGACGACGACGACGACGCTATGTATAAACCTCTAGAGTACAAACAAGTGGGCGAGAGCGAGATTGTGGACGCCATGGGAGGGGTCATTTGAGCCATGGACTTGGCCCCCCGCGCAGATTAATGGCATTATCCACAACAGACTCAGATTCCTTTTCACGAGTGTCCCCTGCATTGGGATGATCTTTGTGTCAGTTCGTGGAACGAATTTGCCGGCCAGGACGTTGTCGCGGCTTGCATGGCTCGTGTCCGTTCCGTGTCTCTGCATCGTCACGCACCTGGGAATTCGTCCGGTGGGTACGGGTCTTTGATGATGTCCTCCTGCATGTCAAACTCATCCACCGGCTCCTACACGACAAAAACACGCAACATTCGATGCCCAATTACACATATATATTTTAAACTCAACACAACAGTTCAGAATCAGAATCTGAATATGTATTTATACTCGAGGAGGAATCCGATGAGCTATAAAGCTCTTCTTCACAGATGTCCAGTCGGGGCGGGTCAGAACGTTACAACAACAAACAGTACAAAAATACAGTAGCAGTGCAAGGTAAACAAATCACCCAAACACATACAAATAGAACTAAACCATCCCCATCCTACCAGGCAAAGCCCACTTAGGTATTAACTTATTTTTCAGAAGCGACCTGGCCACAAATGATAGCTCAAGAAAGTGGCCCATCATTTGGATATTTATAGCAGGAAAATAATCTGAATAATCTCGGTGCACGTTTCTAAACGTGGAGGGAGAAACCGGAGGACCCGGAAAAATAAATCCACGCGACCACGGGGAAAACACCGCAAACTCCAAATATACAGCAGGCGTCAGGGTCAGGATCGAACCTCAGACCGAGGTCTGAGCACCGGGCGAGGAAGATAACATCACAGCACCGTGCAGTGAAACGTCGGACATCATGCCGGACAACACTTGACAAGGCCTCAATGCTGATGGGAAAGCTGTTCTGCAGAAGTTTTTTTTATTGAACAAATTATCTGGTGGTATTGTTGCTGCAATGGCAGTGGTGCACTAGCAGAGTTAACAACAACAACAACTCAACACGTTTATCAACAACAAAAAATGTGTGTGCCCAAAAATGTTTTCTAGTTATTTAACAAGCGATGATTCCGGGAATGGCCCTTCTTCAAAGCACATTGCTCAAAATGTCACCTGCTTTATATATTTTATTTTCTCTATAGGGGCAGTGTTGTCGATGAATATGTTGAGGTATTTTTGTTGCCATTCATTGTGCTTGTGCACCACTGCCAACACAGCAGCAGCAGCATCTATAACACTAATATATATGTATATACACAATGCATATTACCAAAAAAAAACACGTACATACACATACATCACCATCATCATACACACATTCAATTTCAATATACACATTATATATACACACACACACTCACACGCAATGACATACACACGCACAATAACCTCTCGTGCGTTCACAGCTAAACGGGTTGCTGGTGACTATCGCCTGCAAACAGTTGCCCAACAAATCACTCGAGTACACCACAAACCCTTAATCCCAACCAGGCTTGGCGACCGCTAATGAGGCTAGGCCAATTCAGGCTGTGAGTTAACGAAGCCACTCCACAATAATGGGCGTTCGTTAGCACGCTAGCTTATTCGCACGCGCTCATTAAAGGACCCCCTTCGCCTTGATTGCTTTGGACTTTGATTTGTGGCGTTTGATAGGGCTTTCGTTTTTTTTCCCCATCCACGTGTTTTTTAAAAGAATATTTATACGTACAATCTCATCACCGACAGCTGTTTATGAAAACGAGCCTTTGATTTCTACTGGAGCCATCTGCCCAAACGAGCCATTTATGTCGAACATCAAACAGCGATATACATATACATATATTCGTACTTTTGGAAAAAAAGACCACATGATAATGATTAAAAGAAATGAAAATATTTCGTAAAAACAAATCATCTGGTTAAAATTGGCCCTTGAGCAAGGCCGAAATCAGACCCAGAGAGTTTCAATGCAGGATGAATTACAAACACATAATTACGAGTAAAGCAAAACTAAATAATAATGTCTAGTTTTATACATGGCAAAGGCGACATTTGTGCAAATTTCTTCTCTCACAATCCGCCGAGGAACCACAGACCAAGATGCAGCAGAAGCCAGGCAGTGAGGAGCCGGTGCTACCAGCAAGTGCTCAAGATCTGCGGTCCTCCGTATATTAAGATGTTTTCCACCAATCATTGCGTGCTCATACTGTATATGTGGGCGGAAACCGGAGCACTTGGAGGAAATGCACACGTGCGAGCAAGGGAGCAACACTAACCCATGCAGAAAGGACATGATGACATTCGTCTGCACTTCGATGTACCGCCTTCTCCTGGCGAGCCAGGCTGCGGCACACCCTCTGTGCCCAAAGGGAAGGTTTCCATGAAAGACGATGGTGGCGTTTGAGAGGCATTCATCCAGCAGTGGATAGGTCATTGCCGATGATAATGAAACATGGGCCAATGGTGGTAGAGGCGTGCCACAGCTCTCTGTGAGCACTCGTTGTGACCCCCCGCGTGACCTCTTCTAACATGCTCGTGACCCCCTGTGACTGCTCATGACCCCGCGCGACCACACGGGCCTCACCTTCTTGGGCTGGTCGGCCTGCAGGGCCTTCATCTCGATCTTCTCGCCGCGGGATTTGCCCTGGGCGTTGTTGGCTCCCGACAGCTCGTTCTCGGCCTGGTTGCTCTCCCTGCTCACAAGGCAAAGGAGGGGGACACCAGTGGCGACCGGAGACTGAGTTAGGATTACGCACAGAAGCAATCATCGCCACCTCACCCCACCCCAATGCACGCTTGCAGACCAGTGCCTGGGTCACCTTTGTGCTCACAGGGACAGCTGCCACCGAGGGGTGCGCCCTTTCAAGTGTTCGAGGTAAGATGCGACATGGAGCGCTCTGAGATGCCCTGGCGCATATCAAAAGCAAATCATTATGTTTGTCATCACCATTGATATATTCACTGCTGGACAAAAGCCTCCCAAAGGCCCTGGTGCAAGGAATTACATGGGGTCCTCTGTCCAATTTGCCCCCCCCCGCTCCCCTCTTCTTCAAATCCCGACGCCTAGGCCACTGTAGGCCCAGTACCCAGGTGCAGTTGCACTGCCTGCATTCTCAACAGCTACGTGAACTGTCTGTATGGGTCTCTGTGTACATATGTGGGTCTCGGTGTCACTACAGCGTTCTGCGTATCATCCGGTGACCAGGCCGAGATCATTAAGCCGCTCCACTCGAAGATCGAGTTTAATCACAGCTCAGTCGATGCGTCTCGACGTGAATATTTTTTTTACTCTGTGTGAGTCCATGGCAGTGGGGGGGCCCTGTCCAAATTCCTCTGGGGCTCCCCTCCGGCCCGGGGACCTTGGTTCAGTTGCATCGCCTGCACACTCGATCGCCAATGCCACTGCGTCAGGGGTCCAAGGATAACGGCTTCAGAGCCATGTACTTGTGTATACTTTTATACGGGTGTAGATGCACATATAAATGGGTACAATTGTGTATATGTGTGTGTGCTCGTCAACATCATATTCCCCAACAGTATGGTAAGACTACATGGAGGATCTTCGTCTTTCGTCTATATTTGTATTCGGTATGGGGAGTCGTGGCTATTACCGCTCACAACCACTTAGTGGCGAATGGTGGCTGTTATTGTTGTGGTGTGTGTGTGGTGTTTGTGAGCATGTGATGCGTGTGGTGCGTGTGTGTGCGTGTAGGGCATATGCATGTGCGTGCATGTGGTGCATGTGTGGTGCATGTGTGATGCGTGTGTGGTGCGTGTGGTGCGTGTGTGGTGCATGTGGTGCGTGTGTGGTGCGTGTGATGCGTGTGGGGTGTGTGTGTGTGGCGCCTGTGTGGTGCATGTGGTGCATGTTCAGTTTCAGTTGATTTATTTTGGTATAGCCCCGTGAGCCATTCGGCTCTTGAATCGGGTGCAACCACAACAAACAAAAAAACAAAAACACGAACAAGAAAACATCTTAATGTGACTGTGCAAACAGAAAATCCATGAAAAAAACAGCAAAATATTCCTGAAAAAAGCACCGTACACCAACGCTGTATGTAGTGCGTGTGTCATACGTGCGTGGTGCGCGTGTGATTCGTGTGTGGTGCGTGTGTGGTGCGTGCGTGGTGCGTGTGTGGTGCGTGTGTGGTGCGTGTGTGGTGCGTGTGTGGTGCGTGTGTGGTGCGTGCGTGGTGCGTGTGTGGTGCGTGCGTGGTGCGTGCGTGGTGCGTGCGTGGTGCGTGTGTGATGTGTGCGTGGTGCGTGCGTGGTGCGTGCGTGGTGCGTGTGTGGTGCGTGCGTGGTGCGTGCATGCGTGGTGCGTGCGTGGTGCGTGCGTGGTGCGTGCGTGGTGCGTGCGTGCGTGGTGCGTGCGTGGTGCGTGCGTGGTGCGTGCGTGGTGCGTGCGTGGTGCGTGCGTGATGCGTGTATGGTGCGTGTGTGGTGCGTATGTGATTCGTGTGTGGTGTGTGCGTGGTGCGTGTGTGGTGCGTGTGTGGTGCGTGTGTGATTCGTGTGTGGTGCGTGCGTGGTGCATGCGTGGTGCATGCGTGGTGCGTGTGTGGTGGGTGTGTGTGTGATTCGGGTGTAGTGCGTGCGTGGTGCGTGTGTGGTGCGTGTGTGTGGTGCGTGCGTGGTGCGTGCGTGGTGCGTGCGTGTGTGTGATTCGTGTATGGTGCGTGCGTATGTGGTGCATGCGTGGTGCGTGCGTGTGTGTGATTCATGTGTGGTGCGTGTGTGGTGCGTGCGTGGTGCGTGCGAGTGTGTGATTCGTGTGTGATTCGTGTGTGTGATTCGTGTGTGGTGCGTGTGTGATTCGTGCGTGGTGTGTGTGTGGTGCGTGTGTGATTCGTGTGTGATGCGTGTGTGGTGCGTGTGTGGTGCGTGTGTGTGATTCGTGTGTGGTGCGTGCGTGGTGCGTGCGTGCGTGGTGTGTGTGTGTGCGCTGCCCACTTGAGCTTCCGTCTCCGCTCCTTCTCTGCCTGCGCCTCCCTCTGAGCCGAGGTCAGGTCACCGGCGTCCGCCAGGTTATCCACAGCGATGGCCAGGAACACGTTCAAAAGGATGTCTGCCCCAGGGGTCAGGGAGCATCGACAACAACAAAGGCAGCAATAACAATTCATAACTGACTTCTTTGTTTCGGCCATATATTGATCTGGCCACATTTGGGATCGTGGGACCCTCCCACCACCCGACATAGTTAATCAAATTAAACTTGTTATTGTTTCAACCCACTCACAGTTAAGTCAAAGAACAATTCGCAATCGGATGCCACATGTCTCGTTGAGGCTACGTCAAGCATCTCGCCACGGTGGCGAGATGTTATCTCCCTCACCTAGTATACAGGAGGTCGTGGACCCTGACGCCTGCGTATTTCGAGTTTGCGTGTTCTCCCTATGGTCGCGTGGATTTTTCTCACATTTAGAATCAACATTGAGGGTATTTGGCTGGCTATACATTTTCAATTGATAAACCAACTTCGTTGAGCTATCATTTGTGGCCAGGTCGCTTCTGAAAAAGAGCTAAATAGCTCGGTGGGTCTTACCTGGTCAAATGAAAATCGTTTTTTTAGTTTAGTTTTACAACAGCGGTTACAGCAAGAATAACACCAACGTCAAGAACAACAGCAATAACAGCATGTCACATTGTAGATGTCACATGTCAACAACAATACGTCACGTCTGTATACGTGTCACGAAGTGTTTGCTATTCATGTGTCAACTCACACCGCGGACAACTGACACCCCTTGCAAATGAGATGTGCCAGCGCTAAAGGATTGTTTAGGTAAGATATTTTAACAACGCTGTGCTTTTAACAAAACAACAGCAGCAGCAACATTAACAATAGGACCGACAGCAGCAGTTCAGGAAGGAGCTCCCAGCACGTGGAGTGAAACGTCGGACGTCGTGCCGAGCACCATGGGAGATTGAGAGATTCTGCAGTAGTTTTTTTTTGTTCTCCACAAATTAATCAACAGAATTGCGGCGTTGGCAGTGGTGCAGAAGCACAATTTTAAAGAAAAAGTACATAAATTAGCCGATGTGTCAGGAAATGGCACCTTCTTCATAACACACGTGCGGGTTTTTTTTACGTACTATGGAGACTGGCCATTGCCTGAAACATTGCCTATTGCATTATTTGTATATTTGTATTGTTACGTGTTATTGACAAACGTGTTGAACATTTGTTACTTGCGCTTGTGCACCACTGCCAATGCGGCATTACCAAAGAAATATTGCAAGTATTAAGTGAAGCGGACTGGGCCCCACAGGCTCTGGCCTGGTCCTGGCCGCAACTGCCTTCCCCCGCCCACCACTTTCCCCACTGTCCCCCCCCAGACACGACACCAGGATACAGTTGCCGATGCTGAAGAGGATGACGAAGTAGATGCAGACGAGCGTGCCCGAGAACGACGGTCCGCCGTAAGCGTTGATGGCCGCGTGCATCACCGTCTCCCAGTCCTCGCCCGTCAGCACCTGAGGCAGAGCGCTCGGAGTCGGCCTTCGTTGTTGCGGCCGGCAAGGCCCCCCTTGACTGAGCTAAGCAGCTCTTTGACAAGGACGACCACGGCTCAAGAACGTCGCCAGAGGCGGCAGTTGCAAGGGCATTGCACGGTGGGAACGTGCCAACGACCAAGAGCAAAAAAACGCATTTGTACAAAAAGAAATGCCAGAACTTACCGCAAACAGGATAAACAATTAACAGTTCTTAAGCACGAAAAAAAAACAGTGTTACACAAAATCCTGCCAAAGATGGCAATGTCGAGAAACGGCGCACGCAGCCTCACGCATAACGGAGGTTAGCTGTGATATTCATAGCAACATGTGGCAGAGGTGATCCTACAGTGTGGTCTTAAAACCACACTATAGAAGGTGCATTTGGAATAGTAATATTGGTTCTAAGGACATTCCTAAACTCGGGTGCTGTGCAACAGAAGGCCCAATAACAATGACATCATGCACGAGATTGGGGCTAGAGTCAGAGTTAGGGTTAATGTTTTAAGGGTTATGGTAGGGGAGGCGTGTTGTGATTAGGTTTGGATCAGGGTTGGAGTGTCAGGGGTATAATCAGGGTTAGGTCATAAACTGACCCTGATTCTAACCTATCCCGAGCTCAATAACCCTTACAGGTTATTGCTTGCAGTAAGGGACATAATTAGGGCCTGCATCACTTGTAACAGCAGAGGAGAGGTTTAAGGTCTGTATCAAACATTAGGGTCGTAGGTTAGGGAGTCAGAGTTAGGGCCACAACCTCAAGAGCTCAGCGTCAAGGTTCGAGTCAGGGTTATGGTTAATGTCGGGAGGGGTCGGGGGTCGGCGCTTGCGGCCGGGCCCCCGACGCGCACCTGAAAGACGGTGATGAGCGCCTGCGGGAAGTTGTCGAAGTTGCTGCGCACGTCGCTGTTGCGAGCGAAGCGGAAGCGCCCGCCGAACAGCTGCATGCCGAGCAGCGCGAAGATGATGATGGTGAGGAAGAGGAGCAGCAGCAGCGACGCGATGGAGCGCATCGAGTTGAGCAGCGACGCCACGAGGTTGCTCAGCGAGCGCCAGTACCTGCGCACACACCGCCGGCCAGTCGTTATGTCGTTGTCATTGTCAAGTTTCAGGTTCGCTCACCGGGTGAGAATATCTCGCGGTCGGTGGTGGGATGTTGCCTACCTCGCCTGGTACACAGCGGGTCGTGGATTCGATCTCGACCCCGACACCTAAGTCATGGACATTAGTCTCCTATTGCTGCTACGCAAACTAATCTACTAACCCCTCCCCCCCCCCCCCCTTCCTATTTATCCATCTGCTGCATGACAGTTAAATAATTCTTAGTGTTTCAGAGTCAAAAAGGGAGCCCCCAAAGAAGTGATGGGAAGTGTATTAACACTAGGAAATGTTTTTCCCCCTAAAACCTGACTTGCTATGATTGAATTGTATTTGTATTGTTTTGTTTTCTCATCGAGAAGTTACACATTTCTCAGTATAACTTCCAGCACGCGCCTCTACGTACTTCTTTAAGAGCTTTTAACATTTTGTATTATCCCTCCATCACCCTCATTCCCTGTGCACTTGCCCCTTTATGCCCCTGATGTCCCCCCCCCCTCATGCCACCCTTTGTCTCCCCCATACCCACCCCATCTCCCCGAAAGCACTACCCGGTTCACCACGAACTCCCACACACCTTCACATCTCCCATACATAACGCCCCCTCCCCACATCCCCCATATCCCCCCGCACATAACCATGTTCTCCCCGTACACACGCCTCTATATCCTACGCACCGCGTCCCCCGTGGCCTTCCCCCCCCCCCCATATCCCGACGCAAATCCCGGTCCATACCCCATCCTGTACCCACCACGAGCCCCCCCGCCCCCCCCCCCCCCCCACAGCACCCCTGCCTCCCCCCCCACCAAACGGGCTGCTCACTTGGTGACCTTGAATATGCGCAGGAGACGCACACAGCGGAGCACGGAGATGCCGAGCGGGTTCATGACCCGCAGCTGCACGAGCAGCAGCTCCACGATGCCAGTGAACACGACGAAGCAGTCGAAGCGGTTGAACAGCGACACAAAGTACGGCTGCAGGCCCAGGCTGTACATCTTGAGCAACATCTCCATTGTGAAGAGCGTCAGGAAGACCTTGTTCGCGATGTCTGCGATCATGGGCGAGATGGGGAGATGGAGAGTGGTGGGGAGATGGGGAAGATGGGGGAGATGGGGGAGACGGGGAGATGGAGAGATGGAGAGATGGGGAGAATGGGAGATGGGGGAGATAGGGGAGAGTGAGTGGGTGAGTGAGTGAGTGGGTGAGTGAGTGGGTGGGTGAGTGAGTGAGTGGGTGGGTGAGTGGGTGAGTGGGTGGGTGGGTGGGTGAGTGAGTGAGTGGGTGGGTGAGTGAGTGAGTGGGTGAGTGAGTGAGTGGGTGAGTGAGTGGGTGGGTGAGTGAGTGAGTGGGTGGGTGAGTGAGTGAGTGGGTGAGTGGGTGGGTGGGTGAGTGAGTGAGTGGGTGAGTGAGTGGGTGAGTGAGTGAGTGGGTGAGTGAGTGGGTGGGTGAGTGAGTGAGTGGGTGAGTGAGTGAGTGAGTGGGTGAGTGAGTGAGTGGGTGAGTGGGTGAGTGAGTGAGTAAGTGAGTGAGTGGGTGAGTGAGTGGGTGGGTGAGTGAGTGAGTGGGTGGGTGAGTGAGTGGGTGAGTGGGTGAGTGAGTGGGTGGGTGAGTGGGTGGGTGAGTGAGTAAGTGAGTGAGTGGGTGAGTGAGTGGGTGGGTGAGTGAGTGAGTGGGTGAGTGGGTGAGTGAATGGGTGAGTGAGTGCGCGCTTGGACACCTTGCACGCTGGTGAGCCAGGCGGGTTGGCTGTAGTGAGTTAGTGAGTGAGTGGGTGAGTGAGTGAGTGAGTGGGTGAGTGGGTGAGTGAGTGGGTGAGAGAGTGGGTGAGTGAGTGGGTGAGTGAGTGAGTGGGTGAGTGAGTGAGTGGGTGAGTGAGTGGGTGGGTGAGTGAGTGGGTGAGTGAGTGAGTGGGTGAGTGAGTGAGTGGGTGAGTGGGTGAGTGAGTGGGTGAGTGGGTGAGTGAGTGGGTGAGTGAGTGGGTGAGTGAGTGAGTGGGTGAGTGAGTGGGTGAGTGAGTGCGCGCACGGACACCTTGCACGCTGGTGAGCCAGGCGGGCTGGCTGTAGTGCTCGGTGGCGATGGCCAGCGTGTTGAGCGTCACCAGCGTGACGACGAGCCAGTAGAAGGCGTTGGACTTCACCGCCGCACGGCACCGGCGCCGGGACTGGCGGTGGAGACGGCGCCAGCGGTGCCTGCAGAGAGACGCGCGTCACGAGCGCGCGTGCACACACGTACGCACGCGTCACGTGTATCCGTGTGTCTCTGTGTATGGGAGAGCGGTAGTGTAGTGGTTAGTCTTGCCGTGCTACGAACTCAGCGACCCGAGTTCGATTCCCGCTCACGACCACCACCGGTGACGATTATCTGAAGCGGTTGTGGGCCTCCCCTAGGTCGACTCAGCCTCAATGAGTATCTGGTGCGGTTTGTAAACATCGCCCCGAGGGAGACAAAGGCGGCCCGGCGTGGTGCTGATCACCCACCGCCTCGTGCTCGCAAACAGCACTTGCCTCAAAAGTATGCAAAGGCTATATGGGGGATATTTGTCTTGTGTGTGTGTCTGCATGTGTGATTACCCCAAGTTGCTACAAAAAGCCATGACTTCTGCATCTCCTGGAGCGAGGGGTTCATCCGCTATCGACTCCGAATCCCCAACGCTGCCTGATATCACACAAACAATATCCCCATCATCATCTCCATCATCATCGCCATCATCATTACCTTCGCCTTAATCATCATTACCATAAATAATCATCATTAATAACCACCAAAACTATCAACATAATCATCACATGACCACCACTATCATAACTTCCACCATCATTATCATTTGACTACCATTACTAGCACCGCAAACATCACCACCACCATTATCACAACCACCATCATGATTATTATCATCATCATCACCACCACCACTGTGATTTCAACCATCACTACTCTCACCATCATCAACCAATGTCAATACATGACCATCACCACCACTACCCTCCCCGTAACCATCAACGACCACGACTATTAGCACCGCCATGCTTGTCACCACCATCACCCCCATCATCATCATCACCACCACCAACCATCATGATTCTCATCATCACCGCCACCACCATGATCATGACCACTAACACCTCACCGGAGCGGCCCTTGTCGGCACCGTCATGGTGGTCTGGCTCGATGTCCTCGGCGTGCGTGATCCAGTCGAGGTACCCGCGCAGGTCCGTGCTGATCTGCTGCTGCTCACGCAGCATCTGGAAGCGGCCTCGGGCCTTCGCTTTCTCGCGCTCCTTCGAGAATTCCCTGCGCCACATTGTGGTCACCGTCGGCGTCACCATCGCCATTGTCAACGTCGTCGCCGTCGTCGCCGTCGTTACCACTGCCGTCATCATCGTGGCAATCGTCATCGCCTTTTTTGCTGCCGCTGTCATCAACTCAACGCGAACGTAATCCCTGTTGTTATCAGTCACCTTCGTCACCATCGTTTTCATCGTCAACACAGTTACCGTCGTTACCATCGTGATCGGCACCGTTATCGCCAGCATCATCAGCATCGTCATCATCATCTTGGTAATCGTCATCGTCGTCATCGTAAGCACCGTCATCGCGATCAGCATGGCAGAGGTGCCCCGGTGCAACGTGCCCTCACCCACTCAGCACCCCCAGGACCAGGTTGAGGACGAAGAAGGAGCCCAGGATGATGAGGGTGACAAAGTAAATCCATGGCCACTCGTTTCCAATCGCATCGTTCACCTGCACAGACACCGCACAGACACACGCGCAAAGACAAAGATCCACCTGTATAACTTTAACAGACTGTTGGGGCAAGTGCTGTTCGCGAGCACCTAAGAAGGCCGGCACTGTGGCACACGAGGTGGCCAACACCACGCCTGGCCACCTTTGTCTCCCTATTGGCGATGTTTACACATCGTACCAGGTAGTCATTTGAGGCTGAGTCGACCTAGGGGAGGCCCATGACTGGTTTAGATAATCATCACCAGTGTTGGCCGTGAACGGGAATCGAACTCGAATCACCGGGTTAGTAGCGCAGCAGCGGCGCTAAGCGCTGCACTATCGCTCCCCACAGACACACACACACAGAGACACATGCATACACACGCAGACACAAACGCATACATACACACCCTGATACGACAACAGCAGTTCAGCTGATTGTGTGCTTTGTATAGCAGTGATCAGAGCTTGATTTTAGGCTGAGCTCCAAAACAATTTCCCCACCCCCCCCCCCCCCAAACTTCCGCCGTGGAGAGTGGTGGGGGGGTGGCAGAAGGAGGTGCCTGCTCACCTGCTCATCCGTCCACTCGCTCCTGCGCCCGCGCACCCGCTCATCTCTCCGCTCGTCCATCCGCTCTTGCCCGCTCCCCCACTCACCTGTCCACTCGCCCGCTCACCTGTCCACTCGCTCGCTCACCTGTCCACTCGCCCGCTCACCTGTCCACTTGCTCGCTCACCTGTCCACTCGCCCGCTCACCTGTCCACTCGCTCGCTCACCTATCCACTCGCTCGCTCACCTGTCCACTCGCTCATCTGCTCGCCCATGCATTCGTCTGCTCGCCCGCTTGGGTGCCCGCTCACCTCTCTGCTCACAAGCTCGCGCGCCCGCTCGGTCGCTCGCACGACCGCTCGCCCGCTCGTCCCTTCCACTCGCTCATCCGCTCACCCATGCGTGTGCCCGCTCGCCCGCCCGTCAGCCCGCCAGTGCGCCCGCTCACTCACCCAGTAGAGCACGTCGGTCCAGCCCTCGGTGGTGATGCACTGGTAGACGGTGAGCATGGCGAACCCGAAGTTGTCGAAGTTGGTGATGCCCATGTTGGGGCCCTCCCAGCCGCCTTCGCACACCGTACCGTTGATGGTGCAGAAGCGCCCATTGCCGGCGAAGGCGCAGGGGGCGGGTTTATCCTCGGCCACCATCTCTAGGTAGGGAGAGGGGGGAAGATTTCGATTGCAGTTTGGGGGGTGGGGCGGAGATGATTCAGGAGTTGAGCATCATCAAGTATCGAGTTTATGTGGTTTAACCAGGTGCACTTATAAACTAGACCAATTTGTATTCTACTAGGGAAAGCGCACTGAGCTATTAGCTCTTTTTCAGAGGTGATCTGGCCACGTGATGATGATAGCTCAAAATGGCTCATCACACGTGGGAATTCATAGTATAGCGTAAATAACCTAGACGCATGTAAATAACCTAGACGCATGTAAATAACCTAGATGCATGTTGTTTCTAAATGTGGAGGGGGAAAAACCCCGGAGAACCCAGAGAAAAATCTATGTGACGACCACGGAGGGGGAGAGAAAGCAAATACTCAGGGTCCGGATTCAAACCCACGGACCTCCTGCATACCAGGCGAGGGAGATAACATCACGGTGAGAGACCACGATGCGTCTCATTTTACTCAGAGTGACGGGGGGCATCAGTCTGCAAGTAGGCGGGCAACGATTGTGGCCGTGTGTGTGTGTGTGTAATCCCAGCTGAATGATTTGCGTTGTCATTTTCGTATTTGAACCCCGATGCCAGAATCCAATGGTGTCAGGGGATATTTAACGTCCACTGTAAGCAGACAGCCCGTGCTGTATTTACGGTTGTTATTATTATACCGGCAGTAATAATCAGGGCTGCCGCTGGATTAGAACCGTGACCCTGCAAACGAGCAACCGCTGGGTCGTGTCACCTACCATTCCTATGGCGGTGGGCGAGTGTTTTTCATAGGGCAACCAACTGTTGACTTCCCCACAAAGTGGTACTAGTTTTATCGGCCCCGGTGGATTGATGGGCTGAGGTGACCCTCCAACTGAGGTTTGAACTCACAACATTCTGAGTGCGACAGCCACCGCCGTACCGCTGTACCCCCGTGTGTGTGTTCGTTCCTATGTGTGGGGAACAGTGGCGCAGCGGTTAGCGCAATGCGCTACGAACCCGGCGACCTGCGTTCAAAACCACTCACGATCAATGAAAGCCGTGAATATTTTATCCAGTCCTGGGCACTCCCCTAGGCCGTGTGGTGCAGTGTGCAAACATCAAAGGCCACTCCCTCGTGTGCCGTGCCGGCCTTCATAGGTGCTACTCGCTAACAGCACTTGCCCCAAAAGTCTGCTAAGGCTGCACGGGTAATCTTTGTCTTTTGTTGTGTGCGTGTGTGTGTGCGTGCGTGCACGCACGCGTTCCCTCGTAGTAACAGGTCTTGTGCAGTTTTCCCATGAAGAGCTCGAGGCCGATGATGGCGTAGATCATCACCATGAAGAGCACGAGCAGCGCGATGTGCAGCAGTGGCACCATCGACATGAGGATGCTGTCCAGCACCACCGTGAGGCCTGGCGCGCCCCGGCGTGCGTCGTGGGGCCAGGGTTGGTGGATCACGGTGGCATGGGCAGGCAGGATGGTTGGGTCGGCGGGCAGGTGGGTAGGTGGGGTAAGTAGGTAGGTGGGGGGTAAGGGTTCCGGGCATTGGGTCATGAGGGCGGGCATATGGGTGCCAGCCAAGGGCAGCGACGGAAAGGATTTGGCCGGGCATGGCGTTGGCATGGCATGGGTGGCCATTTCAAATCAAGGCAAGGGCATGGCCAGGCATTTCAGGGCATGGCATGGCCAATGTGAAGCATTGGCACCGTCGACATTGCAGAGCATGGCCGGCAGGGCACGTCCGGACACGGCCAGGCAGTTCAAGGCATGGGCATTGCAGGGCCGGGCATTCCAGTGCACGGCATGGCCCACAAGGCACGGCAGGGGAGGGCATGGCATGACCGTACGGGGCAAGGGAGAATAGGGGCAAGGCAGGGTAGAGCAGGGCAGGGCAGCGAGTGCGGAGGGAGAAAATAGACACAGATATACAGAGAGGGAGAGAGGCATAGAGAGATACAGAGACACAGAACGAGAGAAGGAAAGAGACAGAGACAGACAAAAACAGAGACAAAGAGAGACGGCCACAGACATGGGGAGACAAAAACAGACGGGAGACACAGACAGACACAGAGACAAAGCACAGACGGGGAGACACAAATACAGAGACACAGAGAGACAGAGAGAGAGAGAAAGAGAGAAACAGACCCCCAAGCGGCGTCACAACACAGTCGATGCCATTCGCAGAAACAAAGCAAAGCAGAGCAACGACGGCAAGAGGTAACCGGCAAACACGCCGTGTCTGACCGGTATACACGCCGTCTCTGTCCAGTATACATGCTATGTCTGTCCGGCAAACACGCCGTGTCTGACCGGTATACACGCCGTCTCTGTCCAGTATACACGCTATGTCTGTCCGGTATACATGCCGTGTCTGACCAGGAAACACACCGTCCCTGTCCGGTACACGCTCCGTCTCCAACCGGTAGGCATACCATCTCTGACTGGCACATTATACCGTTATTGATGGGGAATATATACCACCTCTAGACCAGTGTGTGTATATGCTGTCTCTCATTGGCATGTATACCTTCCCTGACCGGCAGCTAGGCCATCTCTGATGGCAATTAAACCGTGCCCGAATGGCAGATACACCTCTGCTCAAAGCACCGGCTTAGCGATTGCGCAATTCTCTATTTGAATCAATAAACAAACAAGGATCCGCTTCAGCACCAACACGATCATTCACACCTCAAGAAAGGGACCTGACAGGCCATCGGCCTACAACGCCCTTCGCACCGATGTTTGCCACCGGTATTCGCTTAAGCAGGAATACTCCAGCAGTCCTCAGGGGTTCAACTTTTCCGAGGCTCATCAGCAATCGATTTTTGAATGGAATAACAGAACGCCAAATCGTTCGTTAGACCTATACCAAATTTCTCACTTAAAATAAAAAAAAAATGTGTTCATCTCTCACTGTGTATATCCTGCAATGCTCCAGGATTTGGCGGAGGGTAGGAAGTGGTTGGCGGAGGTGTTGTGTCATCAACTGCTTTGGCCACGATGAACCGGTGGCTTTCAATATTTTCCAGGTTGCTGGCAGACTGGAGCAGGTGGCACGTGACTCGAAGTGGCCATAGACCAAGAGGTATACTGGATGTGGTGTGCAAGGTGAGGAAATGGCTTCCCGGCTTGCCGGCCCTGTACAGGCCCGGATGAAATTACGCACCTTCTCTGCTGAAGAACCTAAACATAATTTACTTTGTATATTTTGTTTAAAAAAAAACGGATCCTTGTTTGTTAATTTGAATACTCACAGTCCACCAACATGTCCCGTAATAAAACCTGTGCGATCTTCGGCAATGGTTCATCTACTGTCGCTTCAAAACAAGAGACGCATCATTGATACAACTATATATTCAGATAATCAATATCCCCAAAAGGAAGGGGGCAAGGGTGGAGGGGGTGGTGGGGGGGGGATCAAACCAAGAAAAAAGACAAAAGACAACTTTGGGGGAGCACACGAGTGTACCTTACCTTGGTACACGCGAGAGGGAGAGAAAAAGTCTCAAATTGGGGTTAAATTAATTAGTGTGGTTAATTGATTCAGTAGGAAGGAAGGATGGGAACTGTCACTGCTTTAGCCACAAGAGCCGGATGAAATCCACGGGGATTTTCACATGTTTACAGATTTTACATTTCTTAATTGACCAAACATCGACAAATGCAGCGCCCTCCTGGGATTCAAGCGAGAATTCTGAGACATGGCGAGGATTTCCTGAATAAAAAAAAATACCTTTTCAAAATTTAAATCTGTTCTTATTTATGTATTTATAATATGTATTTTTCTTATGTTCTAGTAAACGGCTGACCTTTTTTATGACAAACTGCCTAGAGGACAGGGCTCAATTTCTCACTGCAAACAGCTGGAGTAGGTGGAGCGTGTCCCGTCTTAAGCCCAGCCACAGCGAGAGGTTATACTTAACGCGGTGTGCCGGTTGCAGGAATATTATTCTCGGGTCGCCCACCCCGGACAGACCCAGCTGAAATGAATCCCTGCCTATGAGCCCATTTGCCCACTCAGCGAGGGTTCGTCTGGATAAAGGGACATTTTCTACCATTGCTATGCAATTAAACCAGGGTATCGGCAGTCATGGCAACAAGTTGGGGTACATACCAAACCTTTATATTTCTTTATTACCGAACACGGTTTCAACGACGGCACGGAGTTCCCAGCTATCGTCAAGTCTGAAATTTCCACAGCATCGCTGTAGTGGGCTTAAGTAGGCGCAGAACCCACTGAGAGGAGGAGAGCTGAGCAGCGGCGAGCGGTGCACACTGGGTACAAAAGTGACCCTACTGCACACGTTGCCGCATTTGTTGTTTTTACGTGGTGGTCGGGCTGCGCGGCTCCACGATGTGAAACATGCAGCACAACCGCGGTACAACACATCAGAGGTCCGTGTGCACCACCGCCAGCCGCCCCACCGTCCTCCCCTCTGTGGGCACAGGTCCCTACTTAAGCCGTGGCGACGGTGTGGAAAAGTTCAGGCCAAAGTTCATTTCGTGACCGTCCTCTCGCTGTGCCGCCACCCTTGTGCTGTCATCAGAGTTCGACATTAACCCATGCAGTGGTCACCTGACCCGTGCATGACCGAAGGCAGAGGCTGAGCGTGGGCCCAACTCAAAGCATTTGCGCTTAGCGCGGAGCCTCAAGCAGCTGTGAGCATGTGGTAGATTTACTTTGTGTGTGTGTATGGATATGTATCGTGGGGAACGGTGGTGCAGTGGTTAGTGCACTGCACCACTATCCCAGCGACTCAAGTTCAATTCCCGCTAATGTGTAAACATCAGCAGTGGGGAGACAAAGGCGGCCCGGCATACTGCTTGCAACCCATCCCCTCGTGTGCCGTGCCGGCCTAAATAGGTGCTCTCTAACAGCACTTGCCCCAACAGAGGGGGGATCTTAATCTTTGTCTACGAGTGTGCTGTGTGTGTGTACATGTGTGTTGTGCACAGTGAAATCTACGCTGCCCATCGGATCCTTAACGCGCAAACCCCATCAGGCTCTTAAAGCGCGGGCATGACCCAAGGGGTGAGAGGGAGCGGGACAAAAGCACCCGTGAGCTGGGGCATGCAGCGGGCACCGCGAGACACACGCGTGCACACACATACACACGCGCATGCAGATGCACATGCAGAACACCCACACACGTATACACGCACATGCGTGCACCACAAATACCAAAATACACACACCATCATACATACATATACAATGCCAAAGTACAGATACACACACACATACAGTACATAATACCATGACATATATATACAGGACATATACACATACACATGAAGATAAAGATCCTCCATATAGCCTTAAATAATGTTGGGGCAAGAGCTTTTAGCGAGCACCTATTAAGGACAGCATGGCATCACGCCTGGTCGCCTTTGTCTCCCCAGTGGATGTTTACACACCGCACCAGGTACTCATTGAAGGCTGAGTCAGTCTCGGGGAGGCCCAGGACTGGTTCAGATAATCGTCACTGATGTTAACCATGAGCGTGAATCGAACCCGGGCCACCGGGTTCGTAGCACAGCACGCTTACCACTGCGCCGCCGCTCCCCACCATGTGTGCCACAAAGACAAAGATCCCCTGTATAGCCTTAATAGGCAAGTGCTGTTAGCGAGCAAACGGTACACTAGGGGGTGGGTGGCCAGCACCACGCCCGACCGCCTTTTTCTCCCCAGGGGCGATGTTTGCACACCGCACCAGGTACTCATTTGAGGCTGAGTCGACCTAGGGGAGATCCCCGGAACCGGTTCAGATAATCGTCACTGGTGTCGGCCCTGAGCGGGAATCGAACCCGGGATTCGCCGGGTTCATAGCGCAGCGTAGCGCTCACCGCTACACCACCGCTCCCCACACGAACAACAACAGCAACAAACAACAGCAACAACGCTGACTCGGTGCCTGGCGAAGGCGCACTTAAGACAAACACAGGGGGACAAATTCGAGGCGCGCACGTCGGGGGGGGGGGGGGGGGGGACACAGTGCACCGAGACGGACCGGGCGCACCGGGACGGGGCAGGGAGACGTAAACACGCAGTCACCGCAAGCCAGTTGTTGGTGCTTAGTAGAGTCAGTGTGCTACTTACTGGACACACCTGACACGAGTCGGAGCGGCCTGAGTACGCGGAACGCACGCAGCGCCTTCACGTCGAAGCCCACGCTGTTCCCGCTCGGCAGGCCCGGGTCGGGCTGCGGGGACGTGGCCTCCAGCCACACGCTCAGCACGCTGCCATCGGGACCGTCAGCACCATCGTCATCATCGTCGTCGCGAGCATCGCTCTGTCATCGTCGTCATCGTCGTCGTCGGCGCCGAGTTTGGTTTCGTACAAGGTGTCGTTGTCATCAATCATGCGCATCGCATCTCGAACAATCGCCGAGGAACGAGAGACGAGCTGGAAGGCAGCGTTCAGGCGGTGAGCCCAAGCTCTGCGGTCCTCTATTAATTACGATGTTTTTTTAGACAACTGTCGAGTGCTTACACGCGTGGGAAGAAACCGGAGCACCCGGAGAAAACCCGCGCGTTGCGCGAGGGAGACAACACTCATCCCGTGCAGATAGAACAGATGGATATTAGTCCACACTTTGGTATACCGCCTTATCCTGGTGAGCCAGGGTGCAGTACCTCCTCGACTGCCCGTGGGGTTAGGGCGTTTCGCAACATTTGTCCGATGATTCACCAACGCTCGCTGCCTGCAGAGTGCCGGACTACAGGCCACGTGCGTACCCATCACCACTGCCCGAGTTGAGTGACTGTCATCACCCTTATTATTATTATTATGGCTGTCATTAGGATCGTCACATGAATTATCATGGAAAACCATCGTCATCGTCATTGCCGGTCATTTGTATCATGAGATTCATCTTTGTAAAAAAATAATTGTCCCTGTCAATGTGGTTCATTCGCTTCAGCATAATTGAAAATCACCATCATTACTATGGCCACAAGGATATTAAATTGTCATTTAAAATCACTGTCATCGTCTTTAGGGTCACGGTCATTGAGAGTTAAATTATAGTTATCGACATTAGGACTCTCATCATTGTCATTAGAATGATCTTAATCAGATACTCTACATCATTGTGAAAACTCATCGGTATCGTCATTAGAACCGTCATTGACACATTCATTTTAATTAGAATCATGGTGGTGGTGTTCGTGGTGGTGGTGGTAGTGGTGATGGTGTTTGTGTTGTTGGTGGTGGTCGTGGTGGTGGTGCTGCTGCTGCTGCTGCTCATGACGATGTGGAACGTGCTGTTGGTGCTCGTGGTGGTTGGTGATGCTTGTGGTGATGGTGTCGCTTGTGGTGGTGGTGTCGCTTGTGGCGGTGTCGCTTGTGGTGGTGGTGTCGCTTGTGGTGGTGGTGTTCGTGGTGGTGGTGGTGCTCGTGGTGGTGGTGTCGCTTGTGGTGGTGGTGTTCGTGGTGGTGGTGGTGTTTGCGGTGCGTTCCCCGCTGAGCGGGATCTGACCCCACGACGACGATGATGAAGTCCATGATGTTCCACCCGCTGCGCAGGTACGCGTACTGGTGGAAGAAGAACCCGTACGCCACGATCTTCAGCAGAGCCTCCAGCGTGAACACGAACAGGAAGAGGTACTCCACCTGCTCCTGTAGGCACACGTCATGAGTATCATCAGCTTCCATGAGCTATCCACTGCTGCATGAAGGCCTCCTTGAGACGTCACATTCCAACGTGGATGTACGGAGCATTATTCATTTATTTGTTCGCACGGTTGCTGAGCGCAGGCCCGAAGGCTCAAAACGTCAACCGCAACAAACATCTAGCACCTGCACACAAGGGGACTTAGTCGCTGCATCTCCACGGTGGACGACCTGTCCAGTGTGTTTCCTCCTTTAGCTGCCACTCTATATCAAATCAGCCCCTCCATCTCCTTTTCAGCCCATGACACGCCCACTTGGCCCCCCGTTTCAGCCGAGCAGAAGCTGCTTGGGCATGCGCTGGCTGGGCATATGGATGACAGGAGCTCACGGATGGGACCAGTGTCCAGATATTTCAAGAATCTGTGAGCTCCTAATACAATCCAGTCTGGATTAAACCCCAGGATGGATCAGGCTGGTGCAGGTGTATATTAAGTACTCAGACAAGTACTTCGTTATTGTATGGATGAAGGTAAGGTCCCACCTCTTAGAGGCATGCTCCAGGTTTAGCAGCAAATTATCCAACTCCTTCACAAAGTGAACAACAATTACCAGGTCATTAGCACACAGGGGCATGGTTGAGCAGTCGGGACCCATCCCTTGACCGCACCGGGAGATCGGTGATCCTTGTTTTATCACCACATTTAATATTTAAATCTCAATGGTAGAGGCATTCTCAGACTACGTGGTCAAAAAAGTTGTTAAATAGTGTAGGGGCAAGAGGACATGCCTGTCACACCCCAAGGTGAATAGTAAATTACTCTAAATCCCAGCCACGCAGCTTTACCCGGGCCTGCCCACCATCATGAAGGTCCTTATTGATCGTGAGAAGAGAGTCAGGGGCCCCGAAAGCACAAATAATAACCCGAAGCCCTGGCTTATTGATGGTATTATAGGCCTTGAACATGTCAATAAAGCAGAGACGTGAGTCTCGTTGAAATTCCGTAAATATGTGCTGTAGCAGGCATCCGTATAAAAAAGAAGGGATATTTTAATTGAATCATGGGCCCAAAGTGTGACGATTCATTGAATCGCAGGGCTAGTATGAATGATGACACCCTATGCATATATCTGACACATTAGTACATATACAGGTGAGTGTGTGTGCAGTGGTTCACATGGTACGTTAAAACCCGGGTTAGATTCCTGGCCATGGTGCTCAGTAAGGGGGCACTTTGACATTTGACCTTACGGAGTAAAATAAAAAGTCAAATCGTCTCCTGGCTCGAGTGAACGCACGGCGGTAATTATCTTGACGTCCCCTCCCGGCTCTGGATCCAGAGCGGGTGGAAATTCCACATTCTTATGGTATCAAGCCAGTCTTTACACAGGACATCCACTATTGGCCAAAGACTGATGTGACTCTTTTCTGGGAATGCCTTTCTGGTGAGATGGTGTAATGGGCAGGCTGGGGCACAGTGGCTGGTGACGTTTGACATTGTTTGACATTTAAAGTGGTGGAAGTTAATGGGTAAAAGCAAATAAAAAATAATGAATTGTTATTGATAAGAGCCATCCTCCTTTTACGCCGGTGGCATCTCAGAGCACTTTACAAGCGATGAGTGACTTACGTCTCATCTGAACATATTTGAAAGGGGCACCCCCAGGGGCAGCTGAGCTGGCATGGCACAGGGTGACTCAGCACCTGGTCTTCAATAGGGCATTGGTATTCCAGCAGGGGGTGATGATTTCTACCTTGTGGTGGAGCCTAGGGCACCCCCTATGGTAGCTGTCCCTGCGTGGCACAAGGTGATTCAGCACCTGGTCTTCAATAGAGCATTGGTATTCCAGCAGGGGGTGATGATTTCTACCTTGTGGTGGAGCCTAGGGCACCCCCTATGGTAGCTGTCCCTGCGTGGCACAGGGTGATTCAGCACCTGGCCTGCAATAGTGCATTAGTGTGCCAGTAGGGGGGCGAGGATTGCTTTGCTGCTGTGTGCGTGATCCCAGTTGAGTAGCTGGCATTACACATGACAAGGTGTTGCAGGTAACCAGCAGGGAGAGAAAAGATGGAACACTATAGATGATGGAAGGTGGTGGGACAGAGATGTTGAGACATATGATGCACAGGATGACACCGGACATTTGATGGGACGAAGAATGAAAGAACACCAGATGATGACAAGCAGAATGATGGAATAAATAATTAGATGGCACGTATGATGTGACAGATTATAGGACAGTGGTGATGGAAGATGAGGTCTGACAGCTATTGAAACAGCTGATCAGACATATATGATGGGACACAGGTGATAGGAGATCATGGCACACATCTGATTATACACAGATAATGGGACAGATGATGGCACACAGCTGATGGAACAATTTATGGAAGGTTATGGAACAGAGACAATGAAAGACAGGCACACGACATTCTGAATGATGGGACACAGCTGATGGGTGACGATGGCACACAAAAGCATAAATAACTGGGCACAGAATGATGGTGCATATGGTGGGAGACAATGGGAGACAATGGCACACAGATTTCCAAATGATGGGATGCAGAACAATGAGACGCGCGGTGGGAGATGATGGCTGGTTATGGCACGCAGAATTTTGGGTGACAGCAGACGTTGGCGCACAGAAATCTCAATGATAGGTCACAGAATAATGAGACACATGGTGGGATATGATGGTAGATTATGTCAAGCTAAATTCTGAATGATAGGTCACAGATAACGAGAATTGACGGTACATACACACGCACAATAGGCCGCAGCAGGAGGAGCATGGGAAACATGTGTGCGCTTGGGCGTCTGGCCGGTGCGCTCGCTAGGTGCAGCATGTGCGGTACAGTGCTGGCCTAAAAATACGGACGCGAAAAAAACTTCCCCCGTGCCTTAAATGTAGGACTCAGCCACACGGATCCCATTTCACCAGCGCAGAACATCCCCTCTCGACCCCCCCCCCCAGCCCCTCCCGCAGACCCCCCCCCCCCCTCTTCACAATCCACCATGTACGCGCAAACCTCCGTCCGCTAAACCACGCTCTGGTCCACTAGGAGAGGGGCCGGGGGCCAGGGCTGCATAATGGAATTCAAAACGTTATTTATTTATTCCGCTTTTCAGAATTTGTTGCGTTTGCTTTATCAGTGCCCATGTTACTGATCCAGCTCACGTGCACGGATTGTTGCACTGCAAGCTTATTCTCTTCCGTTTTTGCGCGCAACGACAGCGGCAATATGTTCAGGAGCCAGATGCCAATGTCGAGGTCTGCGAGTCACGACAAGGGGGCTTCAGGAGAGAGTTTGTGAGGTTTTGCTGTTCCTCCTCAGTTGATGGAGCACAGACTAGAGCGGCTTACTATATGGTCCATAGTTTTGGTTGCATGGCCACAATTCCACAACTGTGTCTTGTATTTAATTTTTCATGAATGAAGATATGCACATCAGCCTGCTGGTATTCTCATGTGGTTGATGGTTCCACCAGTGTATTGCAAGATTATGAGAGATGGGCTTGGGTTTGAGGAAGCCTTCATCTCGCCGATGACGATGATTAATGATGAATTAATATATCAAGCAAAGCATCCCGAAGTCTCTAGACTTTCTTTTAAAGAGGGTCCTACTACTTTGGGATGTTTTGGCCATTCCAATAATGAGAGTATGGCTTACTGTGGGGGGGGGGGGGGGAAACCAGGTGGGGTAACGCTCATAACATGTGACACCACACAGACAGATTCAAGAATCCCTTGACGTACTGCCACCCTTATGGCCACCTCACAACCGGAGTCTAGCGTCACCCGGTAATCCCAGGCAGTCTCCCATCCAAGTACTAAACAGCCTCATCCCTGCTTAGCTTCCGCCGAGTTCAGGTGTTATTCGGATGATTTGTAGACGTTACATTGATGGCATTAGTCAACTCCTAACCAGGAATCGAAGTCACTCCCTTCCGCTGCTAAGTCTAGCACTCGAACCATAGCAGCGCTCGGCTGTGTTTCTTCTCCACAGCTTGTGTCTGCTCCCCCAGTCCTGCCCACTCGTGCCTCTCTCTCTCTGTCCCATGAGTGGGAACAACTTTCACACGGCCACCAGCTGAGCGGCGGGGACGATGGGAAAGCACAGAGCAGTGACAGCAGTCGCTGCTGCATTCCTGCAGGATGATGGCAATGACGGACGGTCAATTATGCAATTGTAGTAATGGTGGTGATTGATGATGATGGTGATGCTGATGGAGAAGGTGGTGGTTATTCCTGTCATAATAATATTATTTATCCAGGAAAGCCACACTGAGTCTAAGGACTCGTTTTCAGGATGGGAACTGTATGTATGTTGAACTTCTTTCGCACCGTACGTAGCCAACCACGCTAATCGGAGGTGCGGGGGAAAGACAACAAACTAAACACAAAAAGCAGTTATAAAGAAATGAGTTTTCAATCTAGATTTAAAAGTGCATAGCTCCAGTGGCTTCCTAATATCGGAAGGAAGAGCGTTCCAGACGGCCGCAGAAGCACATCTGACAGTGTGTGATGGGGTGACCGTCTTTGTTCAATGGTTAGCCAAGAGCCGCTGCTGCGAGGATGACCAGAGTTTACGTGATGGTTTATGCTTTTTGACGAGAAGATGATTGCAGCCAATTGTACTTGCATTTTACCTGCATTGTACAGTTTTATATGAAGATGATTTCAGACAATGAATATGCACGTGCGAGGAAACCGGAGGACACGCAAGGGGCAGCGGTGTATCCCATACAGTTGGAACAGATGATTTTAGTCCCAACCGTGTTGTACCCACTATGGCACCTCCTCGACGCCCACAGGAAGGGAGTTTCACAACATTTGTGCGATCCACCAACCCTGGCTGCTGGCTCCGCAGTGCTGGATTACAGGTGCGTGCCTCCACCACCACATTGTAAATCTGACCTGTCACACGGAAATCTGAAATGGAAGGTGCTGTTCGTTTACCAACGACGCTCGCTGGCCTCATACTCTCCAGCGCCCATAAATCATTG